ACCTCCTCTTCATTTTAGTAATTTTATGCTGTTTTTGACGATATTCGGAGGTAGAAGTGATCCCTTTCATTCTACGTATGAATGTCGTATGAGTAATATTATAAATCTTGACAACTTTCCGGAGGCTTAAATTTTTATCTTTAGCCATTGCCTCCATCGCCATAACGATATCGCGTTCATTTAATGTCGATACCATAATTATTTATTGATAAATCGCGTATTGAAGTGATTGATGTGAATTGAGGTGAAAGTGGTGCACGAGGTGATATGGTGCACGGGGTGATGAAACACGTTAGTTGCACTAGAACACGCCAAACTGATATTTGCTCTCCGCTTACAAATGATCAACAATAAACATCTGCTAATGAACCACTTAAAGCCCACTATACAGAAAAAAAGACAAGGGATTAGCACAACTAAAAAGCCTCTTACAAGGATCCAGTGACTTGGCCTAATCATCCCAGAAACCCAACGGCCGAAATTGCTCCGCTTATACATCTCGTCGGGATGCAGAACCGATTTTATAGAAAGGCAAATCAAAAAAGAGACAATATAAACCTTTAAGGAATGATAACCAAAGCTCCTGTTTAAGGATTACTCGATCTTCTTAGATGAATCTGAGCAGATTATAGATTGTAAGCATTATATTGATTATAATTATATGATTTATTGTAATAATACTCAAATAACAATTGGATACAAATAGATCTGTAATGATTTATATATATTCGATACAGAAGCGATAAGAGTATAATACAGATTAGAGCATTCGATTAGTATATTTGTAGGTCCCCTAAATGGTAGGATCTGGATGTTTATCGATAGTATATCAGTTATCTGGAGTATACAATGAAATGCATCATCTATATTATAATAGACTTTCTACAAATATTACAAGGCAATCAAACAACTCAATATCAGAGTAAAGTGATCCCTTGGATATATAGAGATCGAAGACAATAAGGAAGCGGATCGCCTAGCGAATGCAGGAGCAATTGAACCCATGGATTAAATGGCCGACAAGTTACTTATGATCAATGGTATACGAACGATCTTTTATAAAAAGTGTCTGTATACAGAGACTAATTAATGGAAAGAGGTAATTGCCTCTCTTTCGTCTAATTATAAAAAGTAGGCTTCCAATTACAATACAAAGGAGCCGAAAGAACTAACTTTACCCAAAGGAGTTCTTCATCGATTATTAGCTATGAAAACAAATCATAGCGATTACATTGTATATCACCAATACTTCAAACATCAAAATAGCAAACAAGATTGCTTATACAATATAGAAAAAGAACTATATCACTTCTTCAGATACACAATAAATAATCTAAAGTGCTCAAACTAGCCTCTCTCTTCAATAAAGATACGCTCCAATAAATAGGCTATCATATATATTAAAAAACTCTTATATACACCCAATAAGCTTACTCAACTAATTGTAGACTCAGAATTCTATACTCAGATCTACCCCAATTACTGTTGGCTTTATTGAGACTAGAAAGAGCATCAGATTGAATTGATTCTCTAGCTAAGCAGTTAAGCTGCGAGTATATATTCCAAAAAAAATGAAGGAATAAGGTTAGGTATTCAGCCTTCGGAATTAAAGTGCTTTGAAATCAAAATATTGAAAGCAAACAAACAGTATACCAAAAAGGAAAGAATGAATTAAAAGTTGAGTTTTGTTTGCTCCTTATATGCATCATGTAATATACATGCATATGCTGCCAAGATCCCAGGAGTTCAACAATTACTAAAGGGCCTTGGAAAAAGGTTTACCTTTTCAATAAAGTATCTATTCCCCTTATTAACTCTTCACTTAATTGATCACTCTAATACATATTACCTTTTAAAATTGCAAAATACAAATCTAATATACAATACAAGAGTACTAACGCTCAATTAATCAAATAGTAATCCATTCTTACTCTCCCCCATTCCAGTCAAGGGATCAAAGCCTTCATCGAGCCTACTCATTCGGGAATTAAGCCCCATTTTAATAATAATCCAGATCAAACATGTCCTTTTGTTATAAAAGAAGGATTATACACGCAAAGAAGCGAATAGCCCCTAACATTGAAGTTAAACTATATGAACGAAGTGAATGACTTCAATTCAATTACTATTGTAATATAGCTACTGTAATAAAGCCCTAAGCGAACGCGAAAGAGACTAGCTCTTTTAGTAAGTCTATATAAGACTTACTACTTTCAATATGTAGCTAGCTCTTTAGACAGAATACAATTAGACATATAGGATCTACGCAATCCGTGGGTGCTACGTCTTCTGTATCCTTCTCGTACCAACAGTTAAAGCATTTCGATAAACATACTATTCGTCAAAGGAAGGGCAAATATCGAATGCTAGTATTGGATGGGCACGAAAGCCACGAATCAATACCTTTTCAATCATATTGCAAATCAAATGATATTATATACCTCAAATTACCATTACATTCAAGTCATTTAACTCAACCACTTGATGTTGGATGTTTTAGTGTCCTGAAACGCTCATATGATAGTCAAATTGATGGATTTATCAAGGTATATATCAATTATATCTCTAAAATTGAATTCTTTATAGCTTTTAAAGCTGCATATCAAGAATCAATTACAGTTCAGAATATGAAAGCTGGGTTTCGAGGAGCTGGATTAATACCATTTAATCCCGAAGCTGTACTCTCAAAATTAGATATTTGAATTCATACACCTACTCCTCCTCCTTTCGATTTGGATCTTTGGATCTCTCAAACCCCTCATAATCCAACTGAAGCTCTTTCTCAATCAACTTTAGTAAAATCTCGAATGGCTCATCATCAATCAAGCTCTCCTACACCTATATTCGAAACTATACTAGCTTTAGCTAAAGGCACAAAAAGATTGATATATGAAAATACACTTTTAAGTGCAGAAAACCATACACTTCGGAAGGCAAATGAGGCATTAAGCAAACATCGACACGCGAAAAAGACTCAATTATATCAAGGAGTACTTATTGAACAAGAAGCTACAGATATATTATCTCAATAAGAGATTGATATTCAGATTCAACACGACGAGCATCAAAATGAGGGAAATTCTAATAGGGAATCATCTACTAGTCGATGCTGTAGTAAGTGTGGAAAGACTGGTCATAATTTAAGAACTTGTCAAAATAGTATAATAGATCCTAGATTATTGGATTCTTAATAGTTTTAATTGATTGATTTAATGATTGTTGAATGAAATGAGTTAGAAAGTGCAAATTGAGGTAAAAGTGGTGCACTCGGTGATATGGTGCACTCGGTGTTAAACCACGTTATGCAATTCATAACTAATAGTAGAGTACTATATGATTGATCTTGAGCACGAAGCTCTACAATAAGGAAACTCTTTCCAGTTGTATAGACCTTCGTACTATGCATCCCACTGCCCTCTATCGTCCCATCAAGGTGGAAATATTTCCCACCATATTCCTCAGCTCGGTGGGAATCCTTGATCACGTGTTTTCGATCAGATTCGATGTCTGTGCTTGCTTAAGGTGGGGAGATCATATGAGTCAATTGCCATACAGTTTGTATGTGAATCTCCTTGCTTTTCCAAATGGTCCGAGCTCGTATGGACTGATCAGCTGTTACTTCGTAACATGAACAAAGTGTAGAATTTGAGCCATCCTAATTAGAAGATAAAGAAGCTTGTAGAAAGCTTGAGAATTAACAAAAGGACTTCTGTAACGGAAACCCCTACTTTCCTCCCATTTTTAGATAAGAAACCTCAAATATATTAATCATGTTCATATATGATACGATTACTCAGGATTAGTATGCGATTTAGGTAGTCTGAGGATCAGATCCGAACAAGTGCTATGTACCAAGAGTTATCGATAAAGTAAGATCATTGAAGGGATAAATATGACTTCTTTCTGCCTAGCCATTACGGCTAGGCCATTCATTCGTGTATATATAGAGTAGCTATCCCCATCTACAGACAGATTATTCCGGCGCTGGACCCTTTTTGACTTCGCCTCCGGCATTTCTTACGCAATCATATCGCACCCGCCAACCATCCTGTAAATACACTGAGTTTAGTGTGGCGGAAGATCAAATCTTACGTAAACCTGCATAACAGCCTTGAGGCTACTAGAACGGGCGTTACCCTGGTAAATTGAATCAATCAATCAATCAATCAATCAATCAATCAATCAATCAATTAATCAATCAATCAATCAATCAATTCATTTCCTCGCCCTTTCTCATCGCGTCTTCAATTCTCCCTTTACGCTTTGAGATCGCGCCGCCCTTCTTCTGTCATTTCTACTAGGCTTCATGATATACCTACTCTATTATGGACGCTACCGAAGAAGCAGAGATAATCAATAGTCATCCTATCAAAGAAGGGTTACTTGCTTTCCGTCGCCAGTTTGAATCATCTCGTGCTATTGAGGACATCCTTTCCGCAGAATCTGCCTCGGGTTAGTATCACTATCCAGCAAATAATTATCTTGCTAATACATATATAAGACCTGGTCCTTGATCTTATTGTGGCCTTGCAGAACTTTCCGGCCGCTCGTATCCTATGTTCGCCGATCGATCGCAAAACTCGTCTACGTGCAGATTTATTCACCCTTGGATCTAAAGTTGCCTCCAGAGATTTCGACATCAAGTCAACAATCCCTTTGGTGGAACTGGTTGTTAAGAACGCGCCTGACGTGGAGACATGGCATGCCGTGTTCAACCTGATCTTAACCACTAGCCCGAAACAAGTAACGCCACCGATTGCCTTCGAGAAAGCTGTTTTCGACACGCCGCTTCGATCCAGCTCGGCTTCTCAGAGGGGGGTTGAACAGACACACGACGAAGTTGATCAGCGAATACTCGAGGAGCTTACCGGGCGAGTCTATTATGATGTCGGAGGTTTCTACGAACGATATTTCAAAGGGAAACCCTGGATAAATAACACGAGGGATATCTACGAAGAGTCGAGGGCCCAATATGCAGAAAGCCGTTGGAGTGGGTGGCCAGAGCCTTCACTTCAAGGTCCATTTTTTGAGTGGTTCACGAAATTCCAGGACACCATTCTCAGCGGACAGGGCCGCAGGTATTATACATCGGCGAACAAAGTGTTGAGGGGCTCAGAGGCTGATCGCAAGCTTGACATTTTTCTCGCCTCTACTGATGCTGTTCTACTGAGCGGTGAGTATGACTGGTCAAATGTACTTGTCATTGGAGAACATAAACAGAATCCCGATGAAGATGGCTCTACAAAAACATTGGTACAGTTGGCAGGGTATGTACGTGAGGTGCTCGGAAGTCAACCGGAGCGGCGATTCGTCCCTGGTTTTACGATCTGCGGAAGCATGATGCGACTCTGGGTATTCGACAGATCTGGCTCGTACAACTCTGAGAAGTTCGATATACACAAAGAGCCTGAGCGATTCGTTAGGGTTATTGCTGGATATGCATTGATGACGGACGCCGAGTTGGGGTTGAATACATTCGTTAAGTATGATGGCAATAGCAAGTACATCGTGGCACGAGATGTAAAAATTTCTTTGGAGGACAAGCCAATCGCCTCGACAAAAGCGATAGTATGCCGTGGAACAACGTGTTATCGAGGAAGGAGGAGCGACTCCACGGAATGGGAGTATGTGGTCAAGTTTGCTTGGCCATCTGATAAAAGGCAGCGGGAAGGAGAACTGTTAAAGTTGGCCAAAGAGAGGGGAGTCACGGGTATTGCTACGTGGTTTAATCATGAGCAGATTGTTATTGACGGCGACCCGGACACTATTTCGCATTTCCGACGAGATATGAAGTTCGGAAGGCCACGAAAGCTATCGAGCAAAGCTTCTTGGGTCGACGGCAGTCCGGAATCCAGTCGGGTGTACTCTAAATCAAGTCTCAGAGGAAGATCAGGGAGTAGTTCGAATCGCTTGAAGGGCCTAGGAATTGGTGCAAGTACATCTTCCTCTGGAAAGAAAAGAAAAAGAAATGAAAGACTTGATCCAGGGAGCAGACTGAAGAAATCTAAATCCGACGGTAGTCATGCCAGCGGGACGAATGTGCGTATTAAAGAACGCGAGTCAGATGCAATCGGCGCTCACAGTATTCAAGAAACGGTCGTTGACAGTCTGGCCCATTGCCGGAATGAGTGGCAGCGGAATAACGTTGACTGTATTCAAGAAGCCGGAGTCGACAGTTTCACGGATTGCGAAAGTGAGACGTACGACAACCGAATGAACTACTGTTTGGTAACTTCACCGGCTGGACGACCTCTCCGCGAATATCATTCAGTTAGAGAGCTTTTAGAGGTGCTACGCGATGCAATCCGAGGCCATAGGTCGCTACTAGAGGATGGAAAGATTCTACATCGGGATATCTCCGAAAATAACATCATCATCACCGAGCTCCCTGCCGAAGGTGATCCGAAAGGAAGACTAATTGACTTGGACTTGGCAAAGGAGCTGGACAGTATGCCAAGTGGGGCTTGTTACCGGACTGGCACAATACAGTTTATGGCGATCGAGGTTCTTGAAGGTAACGGTCATACATATCGGCACGATCTCGAGTCATTTTTTTATGTCTTCGTATGGATGTGCATTCGATATGGCTACGAAGATACAGGCAGGCAAAAACCCAATAAGTTGGTGAGAGCGAAGACAAATATGTTGCGAGGTTGGTATACTGGGATATATGGAGAAATTGCTCGGAATAAGGTGGGGGATATGGACAAAAATAGATTTGAGAAGATCATCGTGGAGTTTGCGCCGAAGTTCGAGAATCTCAAACCGTTGGCTCGCGAACTCCGATATGTTCTTTTTCCAATCAGGGACGGAGCGATCTTTACCGGCACATTTCATGACCATAGTATAATGTACGATGGGATGATCAAGGCATTCGACAGTGCAATTCGCTGTATTCAGAATGAGGAACAAGTAAATGTATAGACGAAGCAACTGGGTATTAGCATTGAGGCGTTTTTTGGGGAGGTAAGTGGAATTTGGATCTTTTGTTTTTAGGGCATAAAGGGTCTGGGGAAAACTGTACGATACAATGATACCAGGGATAGCTTATTGTATAATACGCCAAGGATTCATACTATCACTGTGCTGAAGATGATGTCTTGAACAAGTGTTTCTTACGTATAGTCCACAGCCATAAGCAGGCAGTGAACCGCTTTTCCGGCTCTAGTTACATGCTCGCCGAATTACATAATAAAACTGCCGAATTATACTCAGAGACAAGTCTCTTTTGCCTAACAATGGCGAACCATTTTGCGAACACTCTGAATAAGGCAGGGCTTGTGGATATATTTGGTTTGTGACTATATCCTGTTTTCGTCGGTGACTACTTTCAGCTTAGGCTTTTATTGTCTATCTATGCATCGGACCACAGGTTGTATGACTCGCGGCATGTTGTATACCTTGGGGTTGATGGTATCATTCCTTCGGTCATGAAAAGCAGATACTGATGCAGGGAAGTCTCGTTTTAGCTTTACAGCATGGTGCCTCGAAAGTTTGCAGCCCCCTGCACACTCTCATTCGCTCCCTTGTACCCTGTGCCTTTTCCCACATCCTCGTCATGAATTTCCATGATTGACGACCTATACATCACGCACTATAGGATTTGCGAACTCAGCCTCGGAATCTAAACTCCTTCCCGATTCCGGGGGGGGAAGCTACAAGTCCTTGTTCTTCTCTTACAAGGCAACTATCGCTTAGGTTTCTCATAATAGGTTGAACTATAAGCACTCTAGAGGCGTTTCATGTTATTATACTCTTAATACACTAGGGCATTCCTTCTATGCTTTTAGGATTGTACATAGCTCTTTCCCCGCAGAAATCGAGCCAGCCAGCTATAGCCATCATTGTGAGAACCTCAAATATTGATAGCAGCGTAGCACCTGTAGCTTGGTTTGACGCCTATCAGTACTATTCGTTTGCTAGGGTATTCAACATGAGATCTGTGTCCCGCTGTGATATTTACTTTGATGTGAAAGGTTTCTTGAAAGTTAGGAAGCTGATTTCGTGATATTGGCTCTTGATTTACATTTTGAAATTGCATTAGTCTAGGCTCTTAAGCTCCAAGTACGAACAAATATTACTGATGGGGAAAATGATTTAGCTTGAGATCAGAGATGTAGCTTTAGAAGCCATATGAAAGATTGGTATGTTCAGACCACACGCTACAGAATACACGGCACTAAACTGAGACTATTGGCTGGATAGGCCTTCTCTGTCACGCCCCAAACACCCTTTCTTCTGATTCCATCCACTTCATCACATTGACACATGCTTCCACGGGTTTTACCTACTTCCTTATCGTATAATCAATGTTCAATTACTCATTGCTACCTATCAAATATCCCTATTAATCGTCTCTGATATCCGGAAAGACGTCCCTCAATAGCCGACAATCCGTTATGTCCGTTTGCCATTTCTGCAAAGTTCTTATTATACGATATCCAGCTTGCTCTTTTCTTTTAGCCTCCATAATAAACATAGGATCGTTGTACCATTTATCTTGGAGTGGAAGATAGTTAGCCTCTCGTTTTAGCGAACCTTTTTTAGGAGGTTATTGTAGTAAACCCTCGGTAGAAGGTTGTTGTAGTGAACCTCCGATACGAGGTTGTTGCTTTTCCGATCTTGCTACCTCTTCGTCAAATCGTTTTCGAAGTAGCTGAAAACGAAATACTGTAGAGGTTGGATGATATTGTGGTTTTTGGATTCGATATTGTGGTTTCTGGGTTTGAGGTTGTAGTTTTTCCGCAAAAGGTTGCAATGTTTGGGCAAAAGGTTGTAGTCTTTGGATTTGAAATAGTGGTCTAGAAAATGTTGTGTAATATTGAAGGTCCTGACTTTGGGACCTCATTAGTATGATTTTCCAACTTCGTAGAAGCAACACTTAGACTTACATCGAGTTTTCGAAAGTTGTATTCATTTTGAAGTACTAGGTAGAGGTAGATGATCTTTGATATTGTGGTTGTATCTGCTCAATGATAGAAAGGCCAGAAGTCGGAATGCGAGAATGTGCTGTGGAGGGGGCTTTAGGGAGTTTCAAGAATATAATATAAGATTTGAGACGAAGATTGAGGTAAAATTTCTGCAACTCAATCGAGTTCAGCAGTAGTATTCAGAAAAAAAAACATAAAATTAGTGCTACCAGACCATTGCGTGCTGAAGTCTCCTGTTCCTGTATACCGTATAATCCCTGAGCAATGTGCTCCGATGATAAGTTACAAGATCAAGTTTTCTGATATAGAGAAGCAATTTAAGTTACTATCTTTCAAAATTGGTAATAATCCTGTTTATTTAACTTTTTATTGCTAATCTTCTCGCGTTCTAGTTTACAAACGATAGAGCCGATCTCTACTCTTTACTGTAAAATAGAATCTTATGGCCGGTCACATCGATGGAATGAGGAAACTTGCTAGCCTATTTTGTGGACACATGTAATCAAGTAGAATGTTATCTGTATCTACTTGCAAGGATTGCTATTAGGACCAACTTGCGTTCTACATTTCCATCTACCACCCTCCTTCCCCCTTATAAAAGGCAACTAAATATGATGCTATAATAGATTACATAATGTATATGACTCCTCTTCATATATATAGATATATATTACCAAGTTTTCGAATATAGCCCCGGTCGGCTCTTCCTGAATGTTGATATTCCTGCCTAGAAAGTATCTGGTAATTATTCACAATATCAGTAATCGAGGGTACAGTGAATTGTTGCCAGAGCAGTAGACTGGGATCACTTACACTGTACGAATCCTCATTATTTCTTCAAGCAGCTGCTGCAAGTCTTTAACTTGCAATACTTGCATTCGTAAATCATACAAGAAGGTCCTAAGTAACACTTCGAACAAAACCACTGTATAAGGGTACATTCATACTTGAGAATATTGAAGGAATGACTGCAGTATATTGGGACAGCCATTGTACAAGATGCGAAGTCAATTTGTATTGGGGTATATGAAAGGGGTTTATGCTACAGGAGTAAGTCTTTCCAACAAGCCATTAGAGCTTCTTATGGGGCAGGTATGTTGCTTATGTAGCTTATCTCAAGCTTGGAAGAATACTAGAGGTCGCTGTGTGAACGAAGTGAATGACTTCAATTCAATTACTACTGTAATAAAGAACTAAGCGAACGCGAAAGAGACTAGCTCTTTTAGTAAGTCTATATAAGACTTACTACTTTCAATATGTAGCTAGCTCTTTAGACAGAATACAATTAGACATACAGGACCTACATAATCCGTGGGTGCTACGTCTTCCGTATCCTTCTCGTACCAACAATAGCTTTCAAAGCTATATATCAACAATCGATTACAATTCAGAATATAAAAGCTGACTTTCGAGAAACAGGACTAATACCATTTGATCCTCAAGCTATGCTTTCGAAATTAGATATTCGAATTCGCACATCTACCCCTCCATCGATCCTTTTGGAATCTGCCAACTCTTGGGTCTCTCAAACACTTCACAATCCAACTGAAGCTCTTTTACAATCAACTTTAATGAAATCTTGAATTGCTCGACATCAATCAAGCTCTCCTACACCTATATTCGAAACTATAATTGCATTAGTTAAGAGTACAAAACGACTAGCTTATGAGAATACACTTTTAAGTGCAGAGATTCGTATGCTTCGAAAGGCAAATGAGATATTAAGTAAACATCGACATATTAAAAAAACTCAATTACATCAAGGAGGAGTACTTATTGATCAGGAAGCTATAGATATAATATTACAACAAGAAATGGATATTCAGATTCGATGCGACGAGCGTCAAAATAGGGGAAATTCCAATGGGGAATCATCTACTAATCGATGCTGTAGTAAATGTGGAAAGACTGGTCACAATTCAAGAACTTGTTCTAATAATATAATAGACCCTAGATTATTAGATTCTTAATAGTTTAAATCAATTGATTCAATAATTGCTGATTAAAATAAGTTTAAAGTGGTTGAATAAGTGAAAAAGTGGCGACTCGCTGATAAACTACGTTATAATATTTAATTTAAAGATTTTAAAAAATTTATAATTAAAATGTAAACTTTATCAACTGAACAGGAGAAAATGATATTGCAATGATTACTGGATAACTTTCATTTTAAAATAGTCAACCTGGTGGCTCTTTCCAAACCGCTGTGAACATATAATAAGTCAAGAACTCAATTCCACGACATACCAATACATCCCTTACGCCGTTTCGCCCTAACATGTCTACCTCGGAACCATTCGCTATAGATATTTTGCGTCGCATCACATGGATTGACACGAAGATGCTTCAGAAAATGAGAAAAAAATTCTTCCTTATAGTACAAAGGCGAACTGACCCTCTTCTCAGTGCCTTTTCATCCACCTGTAATTTCACGGCATTGAAAATATCGGGTTTTTTTACCAGGAGAAAAATGTTAACCCGACCAGTCAGACCCTAATCGATTTTTATAGATCCATAAATCTTCTGAACAAATGCCCAGCAAGCAAAATACCCGATCGAACCTTTGGCGGCTTTTAGTATCATCCTGAATCAGACATAGGATGGATGTTACTTACCAGTAAGAATGAAAAACAAAAATGAAATTAGTGCACTATACCCAATGTAAAGTACACTACCCGCCAAACCACCAAGTTGCAGTTTTGTCATCCAGTAAATCATGGCGTTCGCAAACACGTAACCAGCACTTGCACCGGCCGTCATGAATGCTCTCCAATGCCAGTGATAATTTTCGCTACACAGTAAGAAATAAATCATGAGAACTGTGACGGCGGCACACGTAATGATCATGAGACCGTAACACAAAAAGAGGAAGCCAAACATGTAGTAGACTTTGGAGAACCAGATAGAAGACATTATGAAGTAGAGTTCCACAAAGATTGCCCCAAATGGTAGGATACCCACGAGAAGCATGGATGGGATCGGACGCATGTAGGACGTAGAAGGGGGAATTTGACGTGGAATTTGGTTTGTACGAACGGGGGCAGCGATAGGTGGTTGGCGGAACCCAACCCAACTACCAGCAAATGATAGGGGCAGGGAAAAAAAAAACCAGATACAAACGATGACGAGCATTGTTGTGAACGGTACTGCTCCGGAAGACTCTTTGGCCCAAAGAAAGAGGTTGAGAAGGAAAAATGTGCTGAAGACGATACCTGGAACGAGAGTTGGCGTCAAGGCAATGTTGAGCTTCCATTGTTCGCCACCAAAGGACTTGTATACTCGAGCTGAGGCATATCCGCCGATAAACCCGAGGACAGTATACAAAAGGATCATAATAGTACCAAGAGATCCACGATTTGATGGTGATAGGAATCCCAACAGTGCAAAGGCAATAGTGAAGCCTGTCATGACGAATAATTGTGCTCCATTTCCAAGAAAGACGCTCAAAATCAATGGGTGCCCTGGTGTACGGAATACATCTCCATGTACCAATTTCCATCCAGAATCCTCTTGAACTCCGTCTTCGACAGCAACAGATGTTCCTGACAAGTCATCAAGGTTAATCGAGTCAAGCCTGTTGTATCTTTGAATGTCTTTTCTCAATGTTCGCATGAGAATCGAAAGGACTGTAATGACGAGGAATACTACAATGACGGCTGAGTTGATCAAAGAGAACCAATGGATCTTGGGATCAAAAACGTGGAGATATTTATCCCACCTGGTAGCCCAAGCTGTTGTTGATGGTTGCCACCAGACGCTGTACGAATATGTGACGGCTGTCTCGCCAGACTCGGAAAGCACCACTTTTGGTCCACCAGCACCGCATTCTGGATCGCCTGCATTCTTATTCAATATCCTGGATGAAGGTTGAACAATAACGCCAACAACTCTCATTTGACCGGCGGAAACTTCATGGTAGTCAATGAAGATATCGTAATGATTGTTCAAGTGCATGTCCTTCTGATCGCTACTCCCCAGAGCAAATCCTTGACTGTAGAATCTTGTTTGTGTGATTTCGTCCTCAATCAATTGCCCTGCGGGGAGACCGTCAACCAGCCAATTCAACGCAAACCCTTGTTGTATCCTTCTGTTCACAAAATGTGCCGAGCTTTGATCAAACTTCTTCTCCTCGCACAGTTGTGTACATGACTCATTAACTCCCATCTTCAGGTTAAAGGGCGAGGTCATTATACGATCACCGAAAAGGATACTGCCCAAACTCTCCGAGACATATTCGGGCTTTGGATCTGGTCTACAGAAATGGAAAGCCGGGTGATAATAATCGAAAGATACCACTGATCTCAATTGACCATCTTCATAAGAACCGACAGGTGTGAGTCGATTCACAAATAATGGAACCTTGGCGCCAGGTGCATATGATGTCGGCGCAACACCAGGAAGATAAAAAGCTGACGATAGTTGTGGAGCGACGAGCAGAGTCGCAAATACGGCCGCAGACGGTGTGAGATCTTTTAAACGCATGATGTAAAGAAACTATATGGCGATGTGTGAGTTTGACACGATTCAATAGTAAAGTTAGGTATTCATAAGGACGGAAATGTTCTAGAAAGGAGAGCTTACGAAGATCCAACCCTTGATCCTCAACCTTATGTTTAATCTAGCATGAGATGCCACAAAAGAGTTGACCATTAAATTCTCTCATATGAGGAAAAGGCTGGCGACAACTTAGAAAGAAAAAGAGAGAGAGAGATATTGATTTTAGTTGAAATGAAGCAACAGGATAAATCACTTGCTTTTGGCTTGCTGTAAAGGAAACTTGGGTACGTACCTGCGATTGGGGATGGACAGCTTTTCGACTAACCTGGCCTTGCCCCAAGTGTCGGATTTATATTTCGCCGGCGCAAAAGAAATTTATCCCTGCGGAATCAAATTTCTTATCGATACAATGGAAATCTTCTTGTTCAGAAATGCTTTAAAAATCATCCATTGATTTCATTAATTAACAACTTTTACAACAAGATCATGGCTGTCGAAACTTCCCTTCCGGCATTGCTAGCTACCCTTACACAGTCATTGACTTCTGCAATTGAATCAGCTCCAGAAAGTTCGGTTGTCAATTCTCCTGCAGATGGCATTTCACTCTTAGACGTGAAGAATGAGCTGCTCCTATCCTACCTTCAAAACTTGGTATTTATCATAATCCTCAAGATCAGAAATCAAAAAGAAGATATATCCCGCGAAGATGAAGAAGAATTGGACAACGCGGTGGTGAAAAAATTGGTGGAATTACGAGTGTACCTTGAAAAGGGTGTTCGGCCTTTAGAAGGACGTCTGAAATACCAAATCGACAAAGTAATCCGAGCATCTGACGATGCACTTCGAGCTCTTGCGCCTACACCGAAGGCTCTCGGGAGTAAAGATGATACACCAAGTGATGGAAACGATTCAGACTCTGAAGACGACAGTGATGCGGATGCGGATGGGGTACCTGTCGAAACCGCCCAGATCGATGATCTTCAGTACCGACCAAATCCCTCCTCTCTCCTTAGACCTGCCGCTGCTATAGAAGATGATTCAAAACATTCCTCAGATGGTGTTTACAAACCTCCTCGCATCATTGCAACGGCTATGCCTACCACCGAACGTCGCGAAAAGAAGGACAGGAAAGTGAACAAATCCGCAACCTTGGATGAATTCGTCAACACGGAATTATCTGCTGCACCAATTGCAGAGGCTAGTATCGGTTCGAATATCATAGCCGGTGGCAGAAGATCTAAGAGCGAAAAGGAAAAGAAGGAAGATGATGAGAGAAGAGAATACGAAGAGAAAAATTATACCAGATTACCGAAGGAGAGCAAGAAGGACCGATCCAAAAAGAATAGGGCTGGTGGAAGACAAGACGCTGGATATGGTGGCGAGGAATGGAGGGGTTTGGGTGAGGGTGTTGATAGGATTGAGAGACTGACAAAGAGGAAGAGTGGTAGTGGAGGTGCAATGAAGGATGTTCTAGAGAAAAGTAGAAAGAGAGCTGTCGAGGATGGTCCAAGAGGAAGCGGTATGCAAATTGGTGAGGGCTTTCAGAAGAGATTGAAGATGCTAGACGGCGGCAGAAAGGATCGGGGTACAGGTAGGAAGTAGGTACCAGTCAGCTTTTACCATATGTTTGTGTTGGTTTACTCCGATTTTCAATGTATGATTTTCAGAAAAAGCTACCGTGCACCCGGAATGAACCCAGAGACTGCAACAGGTTTTTGGTGAAGACCCGGTTCACCCAAGTTTTTGAGTGCTCCAGTCCTCTATTTTGGCCGTGGATGGGATCTTGGACATTTTGAAATCGCTACTTTCAATTGCCAATTACGGAGCATAAATCACGAGCCGGAACACGAACAGCATCTCTCCCACCCTCAAAAGCACCAATTTCGAATCGGAAAACTATGGTCATAATCCCTTCTTAATGTATAAAAAGTACATGAGACTTGCTTCGTTACCGCGCTTAAGTATCGGCTGGCTGCATCAAGATCTACCGAGTTTTTGTCAGAGAACTTTATGCACATTGGGGAGGAATGTAAAATACCATGCCTAATTCTCTAACATTGATAACCAATCCTTTATACAGCGCGTGATTCATCAAAGTGTTTGTGAAGGTCTTCTGTAACAACTTCTCTTATTTGTTTATTTGTTCGTCTACCTATCTATTACCTTTCTTGTTCGTAAACAGTCCTCTTTCAGGTGAAACAAGCATCTGAGTAGGATCGGCGATCATTACATATGTATTCCTTATACCATTAATTGGAACAAGTAAACTAAAAGTATGAATGATTGCAAAAGATTCGCTGTGGTTTTAATTTCAACGGCTGGATACACTTGTACACTTCAATTCCATTCATTTGGAAATAGTCCCTTTCAAGGCTGGCTCAAAATCTGCATTTTTTTGGTGTTCAAGCGTATACCGAGGAAGGCAAGAAAGCGAAGAGATTCAGAGAAGGGTAGCAGGAGCTCCGGCACAATACAAGTAGAGAAACAGGAGCCACGGAAGCTATATCTCAACTCAGGGTAGAAATCAGCGCGGAGCTGCTTATGGAGTTGTAGGCAATTCCGAGATTGACAACACGCTTAGAGAGCGAGGTATTAAAAGGCGTAATCAGGTCCCAGAAAATACATTTGCCTCTCCGGCTAGTATAAGGCAGTGTTTGGGAGCAAAAAACATGCTAGCATATATAATATTTGTAGTAGTCAATTTCTACCATTCGACACTGATATTCAATTGCTAATAGTGTATTCTCTATTATCCGTTTGGCAGAATAATATATATTAGCATTTGATGTATTCGGGTAGATTCAGAAATAGGTTTTCAAACGGATTCGGGAAAATTTTTAAATAATGAATATAATATGATTAATAAAAAAATAGGTTGATAATAGTTGAATACTTCAATAAAACCTCTTTTTCAACATTCAATATATTCAGTATATGATCAAATTTGGTTAATAGTATCTGAATACTACCATTCGATATTCAATTAGTAATTTCTATCAAATACTTTTTATATAATATTCAAATGCTAGCATTCGAATATTATATATGCTGGCACATTTTTTGCTCCCAAACAGGCCCTAACACCTAATCTTACATCCAGAGAGTAAAGATACAATCCTTGTAGCAATCACTGCCGTGGGCTTGGTAATCATTTCAACGTGTGTTTTTACAAAAGGTTGGATGATATCCAAAGTTCCGCGCTGTCCTCCGGAGAATGGCCCGGAGAGATCTAACTTTCATCCTCGCTATCTTGACCATTATACTTCCATCCGCAGCCTGTATAATATCCGTCACTGACTACCTGGGTATTACCGGGATTCATCAATAAGACGTAGCCTTGTCAAGATCATTCATGCCATGAGGTCTCATGTCTTTGAGTATAATCAGTAGAGCGACAAAGAGACATAGAAGAGAAGTATTGTCATGAGATGGAAAGAAATTCCCTATCTTGCACCAATTGAGAATTCTAGCTTGCCTAGTGTTAGGGTACCCTCAAAGCTTTGGACGAGCTATTGAACCTCCAGTTATTTGCAAAACAACATAATAAGCTGGAACGTTACTGTTTGTATTTCATCCCACTGCTTCTATTATTGGAGACGAGTTTTTTGAGTCATTGAAGAATTGCACAATTATAAGTTTCCTTCATTTGCTTATGTTCTTTGTGATAATTATTTGCTCTGTTCTTGGATAAAGAATCACGAAGTACTACTTGGGTCCTTTTAGAATGATATTAGCAAAACACATTTGATGCCCGGAAATTAACTCTTATCCGCAAATTGAGGTCAAAAATCAGGAAACTAGGGACTGACACCCAAAGGAATATCATAACAACTGCCAAATTCTAGAGACAATCATCCCCTTTTCCATAGTAATATAAACTTATATAACACTCTTTTTTAAACTCATGTGAGGCTTCCATGATTTTGCGGTTGATTGAGACAAATCTGACAATGATAGTGACAAAGTTCCTGAGGTATGACAGACTCGCAGCCCAAACTTGAGGGTGTGGCAAGAGCAAGTGGCAAGGTCAGCTATGATACTACAGGTCAATTACTATCACCAAGTAAGAAACTACGAGCCTTCTACCCATCTCAAAATCAATAAATAGATACTGATCTTAACGTTTTTTTTTTTTTTTTTTTTTTTTTTTTTTTGGCTCAGGAGAGCAAGCTCACTACACCCTTAGTTGGACAGCCCTCGCGAAGAGGTACAGCCGACCCTTGGGAAAATTTGGATCTGTCGATCATCAGATACTAGGTAACAATGGAAAAAGTGGAGTAACACCGCGGAGAAATATTTCGAAACCTCGAAAACGTGGAAAGAGGCGCAGTTGGGAGGAGATTTTGGATGACATAGATATATATCAGAGAAAGTGTTGGTACGAGAAGGATACGGAAGACGTAGCACCCACGGATTGCGTAGGTCCTGTATGTCTAATTGTATTCTGTCTAAAGAGCTAGCTACATATTGAAAGTAGTAAGTCTTATATAGACTTACTAAAAGAGCTAGTCTCTTTCGTATTTGCTTAGGGCTTTATTACAGTAGCTATATTACAGTGGTAATTGAATTGAAGTCATTCACTTCGTTCACACAGAAAGAGATTAAACGGCTTCACGGCACTTGATCTTCATGGCATGCAATCTTTGGCGGCTTTGGATACAAATGTTTCCCTTCATAGTCTTGAAAATCCTATTCATCCTTGTTTTGAGAGAAGCAGATGGGTGGTAGAGGATTGCATGCCGAAACATAAGGGGGCAATACCGATTCTTGGGAGACACGAAGGATTTTGGGTAGTAAGTATATGCGGGCCTAAGAAGTTCAAATTTCCTCAGGTTAAATCCCATTAGTTGGTGTAGGCTTACGCTTCCTCTATACTAGGCGAATAATCCTATTGTCTGGGACTTATTGAAACCTTGCTTACAAGTAGCAACGCTGATGTTGCATAACGAATGCAAATATTCCTTGTATGTGCCATTCCAACTTCAACAACAATATTTCCGTGCTGATTAGGTTGTTAGGCTAGACGCACTACTCAAAGGTCGATATGAAGATGTACCCAACAGCCCGAAAGGAATGAAATTGCAACGTTTCTTCTCGAGGACCCACAGTGAAAGGATCCATCATTCTTTTGCTCAACGCCTTGAAACACTAATCCGTAATTTAACATCTAAAGTTATGTTTGGGTTTCACAGTGGATATGAGGATGTTGCAACTCGACTACCTCGTTCTCGTACAAGCCGCAATGCAATAACAAGGAATCATACAGTATATAATAGGATCGAGGTGTTAATTTCTACAGAGCTGGCGCAGCCTCTATTAAGAGACGAATTGACGGATGCTGAGCAGTATGTTGTTTGGCCATGAAAAGAGTTCACGTGTTGATCTATTTACAGGACGGGAATCAGTTGAGAATCGCTACAACACTTGTTCATGAGTTTGCGGTAAGTAAGCTTGCGGATTTTACTTACTCAATCATTAAGGCTTTTATGCTAATCTATATTGCGAGCTAGCATGCTTTAAGGAGATCCATCATTAACGGAGAAGAGGTTTGCGATGACAAAGTGGCCAAGGGAGAGAATGAACCTTATTTTGAAAATGAGCCTCTCGCAGAGCTTGGATATTCTTTCATTGAGAATTTAAGCCTCCCATATACAGAGAAAAAGCCCGGAATGCTAACGTCAAAAACAGATCTGGGGAGGTCAACCCACACCTCTCATCACTCAGGTACATAATCGCGGTGGCCCTCGGCTTCCTAATCTTGGTATTACCAAAACCAGCTGGTTTACCGACAAAAATAAGTCCTATCAAACATCAAGGAATGCCCCTCCATTGAATCTCAAACCAAAGAGAGGTTGGGTTGATGAGTTTCACACATATGATTATTGGCCCGTGCCAACACAATGGTATAAAACTCTCTTCACTGAAGGGTTTTGGGAAAATGTTAGAGGATTTGGGCCTGAAGCTAAAAAGATGAGAACAGAGAAATTGGGAATGAGATTCCCCTCAGAAGGCCATCCTGACGCGAAAAGCCGGGTAGATGATAGTGGTATTAACATTGGCGGTGGATGGTCGTATGGACCACCCCAGACAAGGAGCCAAACCGAGAGGTCCAGAATGAAGGACAGACTATCAGCGAAACTCACTAGACAACATAATGTAAGGAAGGCTGAGAACTACACAAATCACCCCGTAATCACGTACTCTTGTCCTAGGTGGGACGACATCGTCGAATACTTATTTACCAATCGTGGACTATTAGACCTGGCATTAGATAGTATGGAAGTTTTCTCTGAACCAACTTTCTTCCGGTATATTAGAGACCATGGAGGTATCAGTCTTACACCGATGGAGTTTCGGAGCTTCCTGGGTGTCGCTAATGAGAGACAAGAGTTGTTTTTGTAAGTTCTGAAATGCTTTGTATTGCTAAGATAAGTTTATGGTCAGATGGTTATGATTAACCTATGCCCTCCTAGATGGGAACCATTTCCAGGGTTTGGAATAGTGAAACATATCCCGACAGGATGGCCGCCTTCGAGTTCTGCATCTTCTACATTTTGGACGTCACTTATTAGTGAGGCAGACGAAGACAACATGGAGACTTTGGATAATTTCATGTCCGACCAATCAGTCCAAGAAGCACTTTACGAGTATTGTGGTGAGTGTAGGGACTTGGATATGGAAAGTTTTAGACTGTGGCTAGTTCATCGATTTGAAGCGGAGGAGTTTGACGGCGAGGATGCGGATGAAGATTTTCGGAATGTGATTCTGGAGAGTGTTAGACAAGGCGGTACATACTTCACGTAAGTTACAACTCGTATCTCAAGCAAGTAAACAAGGTTAAGTTGAGATTTTTCGGTTTTAGATTGCTCTTGCTAACAAACATGAGATAATTAGGCTTAGCCCAAAGAATATTGTTCGATTTATATACCCCATTAAAGATATTAGAGAGAGAAAAGCAGATGAATTTACGAAGCAGAGAATGAAAATATTAGAGGAGGGAGCAGATAGTCTTACGTCAGGGGTATCGTCCCTGTAGACTTGACGGAGTAATATTTGGATTAGGGTTGCGCAATAGGTAGGGTATGCCCAGGGTAAGACCCTACCCCACATTTTAATCACCTACTTATTCTAAGCATTCTTTTATATCAAAAACCATAATTTTCATTTTTTAATAATTTTAAAATTAATAGATATACAGTACTAGACCGCAGTTATTTGCTGGATTAAGTTGTTATACCAAAAGTCAATCACTTTAATAAATTATAAAAACTTTATAACGTGGTTTATGGTGAACTCGAACATATGGGGAACTCGGACACTTTTTCAATTATTTTACATGCGATCTTGTTCTACGAGCTACACATTCCTCTAATTCCAACTCTGAATTATTTGAACTATTCTCTAACTCTTCCTCTTCAGTCTCCTCCTCTAATTCTTCAATTGGATGTTTGCGTGGCCGTCCTCCTGGCTTTTTCTCCTTAGGCTTTTCCTTTGTTTTATATACAACTTTGAGTACTTCTTGAGTGTTAAATACAAATTGGCTTTGTAATTTGATTCTCTTGTTTTTAGTTCTCTTCTTTCGAGTCTCGATTACCTTTTAAACATCAGCAAATTGTTTCCTAAATAGAATTATCTCAGCATTTTGAGATTCTACAAACCTAGTCATCCTCTTGACATATCGACGAATTGATGATGCAGGAAAATCGCTGCCTGCTAAAGCTGAATTAAAGGTCTGATTTGCTTGCCTTAGTTCTGTCCCATTTGGGGGAGAACTTCTGAGTATAGAAAAGTCTAGGCCTTGATTGGTAGTTCTTATTTGTGAAGTAGAAGGTTGCTGGGAGGAGTTAAATGGTAATGTATCAAGCACTTTTCGTGGGGAAAAAGGTGTCAAACCAGCCCCTTTCCAGTTAGCTTTAATATTAGAAGAGTTGAGTGCCTTTGTTCTAATCTTTTGGAAGAGTTCTACCCATTCAACTCTTTGGATTCTCTATATAAAAAGCAATTAGATTGTCTGTAATATGACTTGAATGACCATCCATGATTAAAAGTCGAGGCCGGTCACCTGACATTTTCTTTGATTCTGGTTCGAAAACTCTTTGTAGCCATTCTAATCTATAGCTATTTGAGGTTCATTTACTTGTATTAATAGAGAACTATCAATCTTGAAATGTATCTTAAATATAAATATATATTAGGGTGCAGACGAAATATCGGCTTGTTTTAAATATTAAAAATTAATTAAACTATTAAATAAATTGTTAAAGTGAATGGTTCCTGCGTAGCACGTGCACAGGGCACTAGTCCTATTAGGACTAGATTGAGAAGCTCTCTGTAGGAGAGCTTCGCACTTCCGTAGGACTTAGATGAAGAGTGATTATTACACTAGACCAATATTACCTCAGTTCTGCCCTATCAGCTTCCCACTATTCCCTGTGTAAGGTCATTCCTTTTAACAACTTGATCAATTTTAAATTTTTTTTTTTTAGAAAGATCAAAATTAACAAAAAGTATTTTCTATATCCAGGTTTGAAGAGGGTTACCAATCCAAAAGTAGCGGCTTTTTTTTAAAAAAAAAAAAAATTATTTCCCAGTAGAGGGATTCTGAAGAGGTGAATCACCTGTAAGTGGAAGTTAAAGTTGCAGTGATTTGAAAGAAGGCAATCATTGTGCCGTAAGACAAAAAGCTCAAGAACTGGTTTTAATAGTTTTGATTTGATGCGATCATAATACATATAAACAAAGTAACATACAGATCATTACATAGGCCGGATAGATAAATACCACACCTAGTTTGAAGCATCGGCTAGCAAGCCTTCTATGACCAATGTAGCAGCATTCGTCCCGTGGGACTACTGAGTCCGATGATCATTTTTGCCCATCAATTGAGTACTTGGATATTGTTTGCACCTAAACCTAGGACTCCATATCCCATCCACCGGACCAAATCCTTTTTCTACCCAACCGGCGTGTTCGTATGCAAAGAAGGAATTCGTTCCAGGTTCCCTTCGTTTTAGCATCTGGGTAGGTCACCACGCAGGTGGTTATCCAAACCTCCCAAGCCTTTCATTCTTTGGTACGTCCTAATTCCTGAAACCCTTTTCGTTTCGCGTGTAATGAGATAACCTTTCTATCCCTATTGAACTCCGTCCCCTAGCCTAGCCGCCATACCACCCAACTCCTGTTTAACCCTTTACTAAGGGATGTTATGAGATATCGCTAAAAATGCTTGAAAATAAATAAAAGAAACATGTGAAGTGCCGAATCAAAATTTCTTCGTGTTGTGTGCATCCATGGGTGGAGCGAATGTTGAGGTTGAATCCCATGACTGGGGAGGATGGGGTTTCGAGAATGAGCGTGATGGTGATTTGTATCTTGCTTCCCTGCCAAAGTAGTCTGGTGTTTCTCGACCACTTTTTCGAATGGGTGAAACGGGAGTGAGGACACACGGAGTTTCGCATGCCTCCATGGTCTTGCTATCGCGTTGGTCTCGATTTTTATCGAGCATTTCGTATGCCCTAGGATCCTTGAAAGCGTGAACGTCGGCACTAACGAATTCATTGTTGGGCCTCATTTTGCTGCGATACATCTCAATCCAGCCTGTGAACATTGCTTTCCTTCCCAGGAATAATGCTGCCCAGAAACCATTGAACTGAAGTTTGTTAGCACTCGAATAGAACAAGGATGCGCATAGAAAAAACTAACGGATAGCAAGACGAGAACTGCACCAACGGTAGCTTCGTTCACGACCAGATCACTCGCTATCGACAAACACTCTTCTTTTTTTCCAGCAGTTTGAAGTAAGCATGTTAACCATTGTTCAGCCTTTTTGGGATCCTTGAGGATATTCGTTTCTAGATCATCCATGAAGACAAACACGATCGCAAAAAAGATGACATCGGCAACAATCACTAATACTATCGCGATACCTCTCCATTGTAACTCAATCACTCGGCGAACTCGACGATATGCCTGCCGTGGTGAGACGGTACGTACACTGTTAGTGTACGAAGGTAGAACGCCTGAGTTTTCCGTGGTACTTGAACTATCTGCGAGAGATGAAAGATAGACCTTGATGCAGTAAATAAAAGTGACGAATTGGATGATAACGGTGGCACCTGAAAAAATCAGAAGAGGAATCCAGAAATCCGCTAGACTGTTCTTGTGGTTAACATGGCAAGTGTTCCCGAATCGAAAGGAAACACCACTAAAGATCATCCCGAAAGTTAATGCAACGGCTGGTATTCCCCACCCAGTGGCAAAAGCCCCCAACATGAATGACCTCCCAATAACCACCTGCCAGCAGATCTGTAGGTGTAATGCGAGAGATCTTAGGAAGACCCACATCACACCAGACCAGCCTCCAGCCATTATGAGTGCGCCGGAAATTGCACAAGTGAAGCTAGTGCTCATATCATTTGGAGTGATCGCGTTGTAGCATTGTTCGGGTTTTGCGCTTAATGGTATGATAAATCCCAACTTTTGACAAGATATGTTAGGAAACAGTTGATAGAAAGAGACGAGACTAATAAACTAACCTGCAAAATTACTGTAGCGATAACCAAGCATATACTGAGGTAATGCCTGTGAGTCTTCTCTACCGGTAAGAATGCAAAACATAGCAATAAATATAGAGAACATATCATTGCCACTACATTGACCCAATTGGCGGATTCTGTCAGAGTGTTGATGCTTTCACCGTAGAGCCATTCAGTCTGAGGACATGGCAGGCAACAAACAACCCCCAAAGTCCTGGAGCAAAATCTTCCATCGAGGACTACCTGTTGTCAGCGTGATGTAGCGGAATGAAGAATGTGGAGACATACAACCACCCGTCGATGGAAAGAGATCTGCCTCAAGGAACGGAACCGGGCACCGACCCTGGCCAACAACTGTTGAAGAGACGTTCATTGTAAAAGTAAAGATCAATAGCCGCAAGAGAGGAACACGAAACCGAACAAGGATGACAGCAGTCAGATGTATAACTTTGCTGATTCTCCACCGAGCCGGTCATATATATATGAGCAGAAGAAAATAAAAACTAGGTGATGTTGTGACGTTCTCCTGCGTCTGTCAAATATAGTAGCGGAAAGTTAAACGTTTATAATCGTCATATGGTATATTCTGAAACCATTGATGGTAAAGATTAGTATGTTTGAGCGCTCGTGGTGCGTAGGCCCGTGGGGTATAGTAGTGCAATAGTTTTCATGAGGCCATTGCCAGGTGCTTTGACAATATTTCAGATGATATCAAAGGGCGAGAGACAATTCAAAAATAGAACTGGAAAGCTTTGGTATGATATAGAGACGAGAAACGGGGAACTCCAGCTTGCATATGTATAAGGCGACATAAGTGCAGTCTAGGTACCATATGTGGAGTCCTGTAGCTTGGGGAGCACGCGAGGGTCTTGCCCATGATGGCCCTCTTCTTCCATGATGGACCAGGATTGGTCTCTCCTTATGCCTTCCTTGAAGGATAGTAGAGCGAATCCCTGGAGGAAGAAGGTGTTCCGGCCAGCAAAGGACGTGGATGAAGTCTTGAGTATCAACTAGTGCTTGACCGAATACGGACATAAATCCATATTGAGGATTTAATTGGAAGAGGGTATTTGGCGTGCGAGGTAAAATCCCAAATGTTTGAACAAGGAATACGGAATTCCTGGGTTATTGGGTCATTGGGTTATTGAAGAGAGGCTTAGATTGAGAAAGAGAGTGTACGATATTTGATTGGTAGGCTGAAAAATGGTTGAAAATCTTTGAGCTCAAAGAAATGCTGGTGATGAGTATTTTTCGCTAATGGGCTGAATTATTGGGTGTTGGATTGTGGTGGGTTGATTGCCTTTGCAAGGATAAAATGACCACGGTGCCTTGCTATTTGCGTCTCCAAGGGATGTCTTAACTCAACCTTTCCGGCTTAGGCCTTTTCTCGATGGCTACTTGGTGTCATTGGCCCATTGACTATTCTCAAAATATGATTGGCACGGACGAGAAGTATCCAAGAGAAAAAAAACGAATTGAAGGCAACCCAACCGAACCAGAGGAAGGTTTTTAGTAGAGAAGACCAATTCAAGGATTGACAAGGAAGGCATTGTTACTTGTCCACTTCCTGCACGGTAAAGAGTTGCTCCGTAGAATCAATCAACTAGCTACTATCATTCCTTCCCGCTCATCAAAACTTCGCAATTTGAGAGGTGTTAGCTATCCCGCTCACTGACTCCCGTCACTTACACCCTCTCGCTTACAAGGCCTGCACAAAATTTCCCAGATGCAGCTATTTCACTTGTTATTAGTCCATTAGTCCATTAGTTCACCACCTATATGTGTAAATATGCAGGTCCGAAGGTAGCGCGTAAGGTTGTATTCCATGATTATTCAGCATTTATTTCACACCCCTTGTCGAATATTCAATATCACATTGAAGTCTACGGGAGTACTTCACGTCTGCTGTATGTAGTAAAGTACTAAAGTTTAAATGTGATCGTGGTTCGGAGAAGAAATTTCATACTTTTCTTAAAACAAAGTTTTGGGATCGTATTATTACCCCCGAAGGTCCACAGAACAAGAAGCGACCCGGATTTTTATGGGGAGTTGAGAATCCGATGATTCAAAAGCTAAATAGACACGACAAGCCTAGGAGGCCAGCCTACAGAGTACTCCATAGACATTTGAAAACAATGTCCAAGTTGTTGACCCCAATTCTCATGTTGACAGGTGGGTCGGAAATCAGTTTGTTTGTCTTCCGGTTAGAAGAAATGTCAATTCATGGCATTAAGTCTTATCTGGACCATCGAAGTCATGCCCCTTTCCTTCTACGTTTTTACCCGTTAATCTTACTACGGAAGCAAAGGAGCTGTTGGTCAAGTTGTCTACCAGTGTGCTATGGCTAGACTATGTATATTTAAAAATCATTTATACTAATATCGTCCCGTGCCGTGTCACTCAAACACACCATACGAAAGTAAATTACTTAGTACCTACTACACCGCATTGTTTTGTGCCTCTTGCAAACTTGGTGTACATTTTGTTGGGATTGACAGCACGATCTCGCCACACTTCCTTCCTGTCCACGCAATGAGGCTGAACGTAGGGTAGTTCTAGCTTGTCACCGTGCAAAGGGAAACGAAATTAAAATGCATCAGTTCGATCATTAAGAGTTATAATTACTACACATCTACCATGAACAACTACAACCAAAAAGATCATAATGAAGGGGAGGTGTTCTCGCTCATGCTTATCTCTACATTTACATGACCAACTGCGTCTTCGTTTGTTCAAACTGTTGTTTACAGTACCACAGTTCCCTGGTTCCCTAAAGTAAATGATTGGTTACAAGCTAATACCAATGAGCAGTTCTAGCCCATTTGCCCAGGTACCGGAGGACCCCGCTGCTTTGGAAAATTGCTGTCAAGCATGCTGAGAGGTTGAATTCTCTGTGACCATCCCCACGCCATTCTTCGCCAAAAATCATATCACAACAACTTTCCACATTTGATGTCTCGTTGGCTGTAAATTTGGCCTCGAAGCTTACGTTTCCTAGCCATCGTATAAGCATAATAGCATGAATGATAATGTCATGGTGAAGGGATGAATTGTATCAGCAGAGTAGATCGTTCTCCATTAACGGGCCAGCAAGCACCCGCAAGGGGATCATTTAAGTGGCAATGATCACCCAACGTCTCCGAAAGAGACCGTCCTTCCCATACCATCATCCACCTTCGAATCTATTTTGCGGGGTCTACCGTGGATGATGATCATTCATCTTGACTCAAATGGAAATCCACTGACCAAAAACTCGATTCATACTTGAGAGAAGTATTTGATGCAAGGGGGATTAATTCTCTGCATTCATAGCTGTTCGCATGTCCAATGATATGGATATCTACGTCGGCTCCAAATTTTGATAACCTGAGCCTTTGAGATGCTGATTTCACACACCAAAAACATGTGGTCACTGCGCGCATAGCCGGACAACCGCAAACACAAAAACAATATCAGTGCTGCGAGCAGATACCTTCCCGCAGTGGAATGAAGCTATCGGGATCAATATAACGCTCAATGCCTTACTCTTTCATAAGAATTCCATAAAACATTACAAGATGAACAGGAATCATACGAGCTCATTCACGTGATGGTGGGGATTCCCTTCGTTTGATCATCTCTGTTTCAAGGGTTAATTAGGTACCTATGTGTGGAAATCTTCACCGTCGTTGAGAGTATGAAAATGCCTTCTGCAGTATAACTTCATGAAAATTTCTTGCAGATCAAACTATTCGCCGGGTTGATATCGACCGATAGTTTCAGGCATGTCACGTTGCGGCACTCAACACACAAAAGATCCCGTTTTTACGATGTACCGCAATAGTTAGTTATCCCTACATTAATGATTTTACAGGTGACTTGAAGTACGCTTCGTCTCTACTGCGGCGTTGCGGCAGTTCTACCAACGCCTATTTAGGCTGTCCGCCCAGCCTTCCTTCCTTTAAGCATCACAATACTTTTCTGCGTACAAGATCGCTATCAAACTTCGGACCACGAAGAGGAATTTTGCTTTGGAAGAAAAGCCTTGCCAGCGTATTTAGCAAATGTTCGCCCTGCATCAAGACTTCATAATCTTTCCTTGCCAATATCCAGATATCATCAAGCAATATAGACCTATCCTACTTCACTTCCCCGCTAGCCCATAACTTTACAGCAACATATTGAGATTTCACTCACCAACTGTTTTACCTTCTACTTTACGATCTCCCGTTCTAGAAGTCGATGATTGTCCGGCACGGTTAAATAATAACATGCCGGACAACCGTTGTAAAGACTACAATCCCGAAGAACTTAGCCTCAAGTCCCATATTGTTGCTTAACGTATATTCAAATTAAATCGTTTGATTAGCCGCAAAAGGTACGTACCATACTGGCAATGTCATCAGAAGGAGATATAGCAGCCTTCCCTATATTATTCAGACTTCGTGCTTCAATATTTAAACCATACCATGAGCCCGCATAACATAACATCACAATTGATACATATATACTTCCCTCGGTCGTCAGTATCACATCTGAGACTCCGACCCGAGTACTTGGAACAGCTCTAGACTTGACTGTGATCCATTTGCTACTTACGTACAGTAGTAGTCCATCGGAGTCAATCAATCTCTTACGCAGTTTGCAGAACCTGCGTGCCCATCGGTACATAGATACACATTCGTAAGAAATATATCCCAAAGTAGGCGAAAAACCAACATTATTCCTTGCTGGTGATATAAGTCTCAGGGATTCTGCAGATGTACCGGGATAATTTTTCAATTTTTAGGTGGTACTATACCTAGGGACCTAGGGAGGTGAGAAAATAGCGTTTAAAAGCGGGTCAACCACAGAATTTTAAGGTTGCAATCACTGCGCGGCGGATAACTAACTCTCTATGATAGTGTATGTAAAGTTGTGTTTGCCGAACAGGTGCGAGGTAGCCATTTATTTTCTCCTGAAATCCGATTTCGATATGCGAGACCCCCGGAAAGCTAGAATGATGCTGGCAAAAGGTACAACAAGTCTGTACGTGGGTGAGGCCTGGCTGACCAGCTGCTTGCCTTTTCTCGCATTCAAAATAGCAAAATGCCATGAGCTGCGTGGGACCCAAGTATTTGTTTATGTCGTGATTTCCACGTTCATTCATGGATCGCCTTGTACCTACCTGTCTGTCAAATGTCAGCTGTGACAGCCAGATCATATCAGTGGGTGTATTTGATTCGTATATCCATTAATCGCTCGCCGAGAATTACACCACGTCTTGTACTAGGCTTTTACACAGTGTATACATATATTTTCGTCATCTGTAAACAATATGTAGCACGTTGCTGTGTCTTCCATTGGTTTCAGAAATCATGGGAAGTACTCAGCTTCCAGGTACGGACCTACGGCTACGGATAGTAGACGCTGGGTAAGCTCAGCTTACATACATAAGGGATCTTTTCCTCCTTTCCCCAAATTGAAAAACGGGGAACTTGGCAAAGAGGGGGCTGTGACTAGTTTGTTATGTCATATCATGTTAGCATCTAGAGGGTTTTTGAAATGGAAAGGCATTACATAAAAACGCTAAGGCCTGGCAGGATCGGTGTCTAGACACTGGACCATTTAATAACAACCCCAGACACTGTCATCGGTAACCATCCGACATCGTTCATCCCGATACGTTATCTACAGTATCTCGCACTCATTCATATGTAACATTACCAACCTGAACACAACACTCATTTCGTACCTTTTGCGTATTTGTTCGCAGTTGGAAGTGCGGTAACATTCCATACTGGAACAGGATATATCGGCCCATGCGAGTGCCGGATGAAAGTTACCATTGTAGCCTCATCACCGACCCGTCTAAGCTGGTATTTTTTTGGTCTTGGCTCTAGATTGAGATTCCGAGGCGTATGGTACGATAACCTCACAGCCTCCGAATGCTCGCATAAACGCTACTGCATGTGCTCTGTGTGAAGACTTGCAGATGTGCTTGGGTTAATAGGTACCGAGACATATTAGAGGTGTGATCATTGATCTATGTATTTCTTTGGGTGTGGTAGGTATCCATGAATGAACCACGCGTTTTCTTACTTCTTCTGGAAAATTGCCTTTTTCGCTCTTCGGGATACATGTAACCTTCAATTCATGTTACAATGAGTAGAATTAAAAGCTTGTTGTGAGAAGACCTCCAACCAAATGTTGGTGATACAGTATACTTTGCAGCATGTGCAGCGCACACCTTTTGTATTTCTTTTTCATTCCTTTTTATCTAGGCTATATACCATCTGCGACATGATTGGATGGTTCACAATACATAATCCAACTCCGAGGTGTTCCTGCATAAGCGTGAGCGCCGCGAGAAAATGAAGGGGAATAGTTAAGCTTCATTTTACGTTTCCTGGGCATTTTATCTGAGACTGCAGATGGATGCAGAATGTGCAATGCGGAAACCATCAATGAACTGGTAGAATTCGAATATACTACGTACATATATACCCCCACGATCCTTCTTCTTTTCTTCTCCCATACCATCAGAACGAGAATATCCTATTTAAAATGGTTCGAGGCCTGGGCCTGAAGAAAAAACAACAAACAAAATTCAACCTTCGGAGAACCATTGCCGAATCCATGTTCCAATAGTGAAAGGTTTAGAATCCTTCGAGAATATTCGGGACGGATCATTTAACCTTCTACGTTCTACCTCAACTTCCAAGCCATCTTCGTGATCAAACCCCTGCGGCTGACTTCTCTTCGGACTGGGGAACATAGTCGCATCGTGGGAACTTCTTTCGTTTGATATTTCCCTTCTCTGTTTACTGACTTTGCCTTTCTTGTGCTCCGTGGCTGAGGCAGTTCTGTCGTCTTCCGTGTTGAGTGAACTTGGACCAGAGTGATGCACCGATTGACTCGTTCCATGTGAATGCATACGAAGTACCGTGTACGCAACACAACAGCAGAAGGTCCGAATGATATCTGGGAATAGACCCGAAAAGTAATTGATCGTCAGCTCGTCTGTTTGCCAGTCACACTCATTTTGTAAATCGTTACCCAAACTCGTAGACTAGTTTGCGTGATCATTGCCAAGGAGGAGTACAGTAAAAGTGACTGGCATCGCTCTGTCTTGTCTTACTTTCTTTACCCTTCAATTTTTATCACAAAGAAGTACTGGTGCATTTTGTTGGGTTAAATGATACGAATGCACTGAATTGGATGATGGCAGTATCGGGATAAATGGATATGTTCCTGAATGCGGGGTTGAAGTGTCATGGCATTCCACTATCCATCCGTTCACCCCCCCATTGCATCCAGGACGCGACTCTCCCTCTACCCATCTCAACCCTCTGTCACACTTCAAATTTATTACAGGACTGCATGCTGCTTATTACATCTTGCATATTGCCCAGAACGCTCATGCACTTTCTACATTGACATTAGTTCATGTGCCACATTAACTATGGAGCACACGATGTCTGTCCATCCACATGCAAGAGTCCGCGTCCATATTTTCCAATGCCTCAATTTTCGGCACATGTGTAGGGAAGATACCTCGCTTTAGGGGGCGTCAGCGCTGTTGCTGGTTGGACAGTTCGTCAAAGAAGGGCACGCATGGTCAGCTAGTGCTAAAATTATTGCCGTTGCGATTGCCGTTACGATCGCGGGAATGACCCAGCACTTTTGTTCTATCACTTGAGCAACTTTCGAGTTTTATGTAGCAGCTACATTACCTCTGAAATGAGGCGATGTTTGAGCGATTGGCCAGTAAGTGCGATGATATGCTTAAGTTAGTTTATGTCAGATGCTGGAGGGCTGGAGATGCCGAAACTGAACCGCCGAATTCTCTCCTTTCTGGTGATTTTAAGGCTCATTATATGGTACTTCTAGAAAGTAATTATTTGCCGACAATCACCTTGACTGCTTGAATGCTCAGGACCTTTTTATTTTCATGTCCAGCTACAAGTTGCGGAGCTTTTTCTCCAAGTGCCGAAGAATCAGAAATCCATTGATTGATTCATTTCATCCTACATGGCATGAAATATCACGCATGCGAAACGGCTTTTAGCCTTTCTTTGTGTGCTCCCTCGGACTCAACTAAGGATTCGAGTGGTCGTATATATGAATATCCTCCTAGCTACTGCAATTCAAATTTATGCGTTTCAAGATGGCTTACAAGGGAGGAAGTTATGGAGATCATTTTTAATAGGTTACATGTCGTGTCTCTACATGCCGAGCCTCTTCATCTCTGAAACTGTAATCAAAAGGTTGCCTCTCTCATGTGAAAGTCTCGATGCTGCAGTCATACATTTGAAATATTCAATCAATCTAATCCCAGTGAGAATTGGGTACAATAGGATGGACTGACTGTGTGACGGACTGTGTGGATGAGTACAACATGGGGAAATATTGAAAAAAAGGGTCGCAAATCCAATCCACCAAATCCGGCTGGACATGAAATTTACGGTAGTTTCTTGAGATGTGCAACAAAACTTTTGATTTTTTGAATATATGAGGAAGAGGCCCATCAGATCTATTTACCCCTCACTTCGCGAACTAGGTGTACTTTCTGAAGACCAAAATCCAAGTCCTAGATATATTTTCGCTCTTAGGCAAGTAAAGGACGACGATACTTGACTTTTGTAGCTCCATATATTTTAATGTAATTGCATTGTGATGGAATAGGACGATGATGATGTCAACTACTGACTCTATTCTTCGTGGCCAAGGAGCTTATACATGCTGAGACTATTGCTAGTATAAAAAGTCTAGAAAAATTGTCTTGAATTCTCCGGTTCTTTTATATGATCTAATCCGTGTCTCTGAGCTGAAAACGAAATTAGTAGGATAGCTGCTCTGACGCGTGAAGATAATTATATGGTATTTCCTGTAATAAACTATCTACAATCATCATCAATACGAACTCCTACCTCAGATTTTCATTCAGGAACATAAACAAACATATCAAGTATCATAAATCTTGTCTCAATTTCATCTTACGCCAAAATACTAGAAATTCAGTGCGCAAAGAGCATCACATTCTCTCTATGAAAACTTGCTGACTATTAAAATCCAGTTAAAGTTTCAACTCCTCCCTAGTAGTTGGACGGATAAACCTATGGTCGTCCTGAGAATGAAAATTTTCCCAGGTAAGAAGCAAGAGTTATCGCCTCTCCAGAGGTGATAAATAGGAAATGACTTCCCAGCGGGTTGTGTCTCTACTTAGCAAGTGCAGTTCGAGTTAGATTGTTGCCTTTTTTTACTAGGATAGAGATTGATTAGATTGGGAGAATGGTATCCCTATAGCAAATTCGCCGTAGTAGTTCTACTAATAGATGGAGACGGAGGTGTGGTAATGGTTAGAATCCGTTAGATATATGACTATTATGGTAGAACTAAGACGAGAGTTATTCCCACTTGGAACCTTCAACATGAAAAGGAAATTTATCCACCTCCATTAAAACCCATCGCAAGTACTTCAACGAATTCAGCTTTCCAAAACCAATCTCTGCCCCTCGAATGCATCCTAAACTTTCCTTCTTGACTTCCCCCACCTCTGCACATTTTTCGCTAGATCAAAAAAATATGTCGCTAGCAGCTACAACTGTCCATCAAAGGTACGCGCTGGAATAGGCACATACAAGAGATGATAACGTGGATCAACTAGATCTCGAGTTTATTTTGCCATCCATTGAGGAGTATATATTGTTCTTCCGTTTGTTTCTTCTCCCCTGTACACTTTAGATTTTGAAGGGCAAGAACGTGAGAGATGATGCAGCCTTCCGTTTAATATCAAATTCATGGAGGAATTTTAACTTCCCGAGCATCATGCGTGCGCTGAGCGTAAGCATAAAAATCTTGGAAGTGTGTAGGAATTCTGAAGAATCAAAAGAAGTATTTGGTAACTGAACGTCCACTAATCCACCAAATAGGAATTCAGTAGATATACCTAGATATTTGAAGATAACAGCAGTGTCACGATCAGTTGACATAGACACAAAAATAAAGAGCATCCATCCCAGGCGAATTCTTCATTAAAAATTATAATCTCTATCTCTCCATCTTTCGGAATAAGGTCCAAAAATCTCTCAATATTTCCACTCCTCACAAGCGCGTGTCTTTGAAAAGAGCTCCACAACGACGATACACCAAATCATCTATTATAAAAATCCCACATACCTCCTTAGAAGTTCCTCGTTTCGTAACTTAACTTCGGTATTATCAAGGCTAGCTAAAGACACCTCTATAATTAATATTATTTGAAAATAATATTACATACCTACAGACATCAAATACTATTGTACCCGATCCAAGGAGTCAGTTTAAAAGGGTTTCAGCGTGATTTTCGTCTCGAGTTTAATATATTTAACGTAACTTGACTAGAAGTGGATCATGTCATGGTATGGGTCAGGTACCTTTACACCAAAATTTGTATGCAAAGGTACTTAGAACGACTTTTTATATCTCTATGGATATTAAAGATAATTTTATTTTTTTTTGATAATTAGGCTTGATATCTAATAAAAATATAGTATTAAAGTTACAAAACACTTTTTAATAATATTGTTCTTGAATTAATACGATTTTAAAAACTCCCATAGTAATTTTTGTTAGACAAAAACGAAAATTTGAAAGAAACTTTAATATCTTTATTAAAAAAAATTGTATCTCTATAATATTTTATCATATTAAATATTTAAATTGAATATATCATACTTTAAAATATCGAAACTATATCTCTAGTATTTATAGAGTTAGAAAAATTCGCTCTAAGTATCTTTATGTCACACTCAAGAATACTGGGTAAAGTATCTTGTATTAGAAAATACTAAGCTAAGGAGAAAAGAAGAAGGAAAACAAGAGTAGCGAGTTTTCCTATGATTAAATACAAACGGGGCATGCCACGTGACCCGGAGGTGTGAGGCGTCACACTTTACATACAAATTTTGGTGTAAAGGTACCTGACCCATATCATGACATGACCCACTTCTAGTCAAGTTACGTTAACGTGGTTTATCATCGAGTGGCCCATATCATCGAGTGGCCCACTTTCACCTCAATTTACACCTGTCTCTTTCAACACGCGTTTTATCAACAACCTATAATGAATTCGAATAATCAAGAAGCTCGTATACTCCTTGCTATCGAAGTTATTCATAAAGATAAAAAATTAAGCATTCGAAAGGCTGCTATGCTCTATAATATTCCTCGTACGACTCTTCGACATAGAATGGAAGGTTTACCTCTTCGTACAGAAACTCGAGCGAATCGTCATAAGATTACAGAATTAGAAGAAGAGGTGATTGTTCAATATATACTCGATATGGATTTAAGAGGATTTCCACCTAAACTAAAGAATGTGGAAGATATGGCGAATGATATTCTCGAATCGAGGGGTGCGAAACGCGTTGGGAAGCTCTGGGTGCATCGATTCGTAAAGCGTCGAATCGAATTAAAGACGCGTTTTAGTCGTGTTTATGACTTTCAAAGAGCTCTCTGTGAGGATTCTAAGCTTCTTGAAGAGTGGTTTCGACTAGTTGCGAATATGCGAGCGAAATACGGCATTTTGGACGGAGATTTCTACAATTTCGACGAAACAGGCTTTATGATAGGGATTATATATGCAGCAATGGTAATAACTAGTGCTGAACGAAATGGCAGAAGCAAGATAGTACAGCCAGGCAATCGAGAATGGGCTACAGCAATAATATGCGGAAATGGAGAGGGTGAAACTATTCCCCCATTTCTAGTAGTTCAAGGACAAGTTCATCTCTCCAATTGGTACACCGAAACGAATCTTCCTGCGGAATGGGCTATTAAATCTACATCTAATGGGTGGACGAATAATGAGACGGGTTTAGAATGGTTGAAACACTTCGACAAGCATACTAAGAATCGAAGAAAGGGCAAATATCGAATGTTGGTACTGGATGGGTATGAAAGCCACGAATCAATAGCTTTTCAAGCATACTGCAAAGAGAACGATATTATATGTTTACGTTTACTACCACATTCAAGTCATTTAACTCAACCACTTGATGTTGGCTGTTTTAGCAATCTAAAACGTTCATATGGTGGTCAAATTGATGGATTTATCAAGGCACATATCAATCATATTTCGAAGATTGAATTCTTTATAGCTTTTAAAGCTGCATACGAGGAATCAATCACTTCTCAGAATATGAAATCAGGATTCCGAGGAACAGGTTTAATCCCATTTAATCCTGAAGTTGTACTCTCGAAATTAGATATTCGAATTCGTACACCTACCCCCCCCTCTTTCGACCTAGATCAATGGATCTCTCAAACCCCTCGCAACCCAACTGAAGCTCTTTCTCAATCAACATTAGTTAAATCTCGAATAACTCGTCATCAAGCAAGCTCTCCTACACCTATATTCGAGACTGTACTAGCTCTAGCTAAGGGTACAGAGAGATTAGCTCATGAAAACACACTTTTAAATACAGAGATTCGTACACTTCGGACAGCAAATGAAGCATTAAGCAAGCGTCGACGCGCGAAAAAAACCCAATTACGTCAAGGAGGAGTGCTCACTGGACAAGAGGCTCTTGATATATTATCTCAGCAAGAGGTTGATATTCAGATTCAATGCGATGAGCGTCAAAAAAGGGGGAATTCTAATGGGGAAGCATCTTCTAATCGATGTTGTAGTAAATGCGGAAAGACAGGACATAATGCAAGAACCTGTCAAAATAATGTAATAGATCCTAGATTATTAGATTCTTAATAGTTTCAATCAATTGATTCAATTGTTGTTGAATAATATGGGTTTGAAAGTGTAAATTGAGGTGAAAGTGGGCCACTCGATGATATGGGCCACTCGATGATATGGGCCACTCGATGATAAACCACGTTATAATAATATATTTATTTTAATCTTATAATAATACTTCTCTTTAGGAAGATATTCAAATTAAAAAGGAATTGTTTAAAAGTTTAAAATTTCGCTTTTTATATTAAAAAAAAGATCGTAAATCTTATTACTAATCAACTTATATTATCTCAAAATCTATTTTCACATAAGAAATAACTAAAATATATTTATTTTACTTAAAAGAATTTAGTTGAATGTTACGACGGCTTCGGATCTCGTATCATGTGACCAATTATGTAATCACATGGTCCCTTCGATCCCCTCGGTCTCTTGATCGAAGGGACCGAGGGGATCAAGGGGACCAAGGGGACGATTAGTATGAAGGTCTATATAACCAAGATGGATTTCCTTTGTATAGAGCTTCGTGCTCCAGATCAATCATTTAGTATACTCTACTATTAGTTACGAATTGTATTATTGTTATTACTTTAAGTCCCTGTTTGACGTCTAGTTATAAACCACTTCGAGAGCCTAGAGCACTTCCACGTGATCTAGACGGCAAACCTCGTAACATTGAAATAAAAGAAATTGTAAAAAAAAACTTTTTTATAATATCAAAAACATTTAAACCAATATAATTTAAGATAAGAATCTCAATATTCATTTTATCTTTTCAAATTTAAGAATTATTAAGAAAAATTCTGTTACAAATCACGATGTTATGAGGTTTGTGTCACGATTCACCATTAGGATTGATGGTGTTACGATGGTAGCAAACTGATTAATTAGGAGAGCTTAGGCCGTGTGCAAACACGATCAGATTTCATCGAATTAGTATGTGATCTTGGTCACCTGAAGATCGTATGCGCACGCACCATCAGAAATCGCGTGATAAGGAGTCTTGAGGAGCCAGAAAGCTCCTAGGGGCCCCCTTTATTGTTCAGTATATAGTCAGAGTAGTTTCATAGTTTAGGAGCTTCGTGCTCAACTTAGTTATCAATTAGTTTACCTACATTCTACTTGATCTAGTAACGACTTCACTTCCAAGTGAAGACTAGTGATAAAGCCTTAACCCACAACTACCAATCAGACGAAACCTCAGGCAGCCGCTGCCTCCGGTACAGTATCGTTACAGTTTGCCGTCTAGATCATGTAGAAGTGCTCTAGGCTCTCGAGGTGGTTTATAACTAGACGTCAAGCAGGGACTTAAAGTAATGACAATAATGTAATTCGTAACTAATAGTAGAGTATACTAAATGATTGATCTGGAGCACGAAGCTCTATACAAAGGAAATCCATCTTGGTTATATAGACCTTCATGCCTATGGTTAACTAGGAATCGTCGTTCCTGGGAACGAGCGTTCCTGGTTGTTCCTAGGAACGTTCGTTCCTCACCGTTCCATTACATGTTTTATGGTCATGTGACATACTAATCGTTTTGGACGTAACAAATACTTGCCTTAGTTCAAGTTTTATTCGTGAAGAAATAGCAGACTAGCATGTAAACGTGAATTTCCGGATAGTATAGACTTATGTATTACGTTACAGGCTGATCTTAAAGATAGTTCGCCCGTTGTATGTTGCGTATAGCTTCTTCAGTGTTCCAGGAGGGTTGATATTTGGTTTTGTTATATTCCCCGTAGGGTTAACGAATAATTAGGTGTCTAGATAGCGCAGACCTATACATACATTAAGCATCACAAGTTCACAAGACTTCTAATTACGGTACGACAGTTCAAATATGCATATGTATGTATAATTATTTACATAGTATCAAAACTTCATATATTATGCAAGGACGTGAATCCAAATCTGGTACGTGGCAATTCTAACAGCCCGTCCAATCATTCAACATCCTGCCACCCATATATCATCATATCCAAGCAATCGTGGTATCAAAACGACCAAAAAATTATTTAAAATAAAACATCAAGAACACCCCCAAGTCTAGCCTATAATCTAAGCCACAATCCCAGTATCTCTACCTCCTCGCTCTTCAAAGGCCTCTCTTGCCTTAACGTTCGCCACTGCGCTTTGGAACGCACTCGTGAGATCAATGTGAAATAATGGTCTATTGAGACCATTAACGACGGCCGTTCTCAATCTCGTAACATTCTTTGACACATGCTTCAAGTCACTACCGCTCAATCCACTTCCGCTTTCACTATCCCCACTAATCTTGTCTTCGTTTGCTTTTAATTCTCTTTCGCGCCTCTGTTCTCGGATTTCTTTCTCGTTAGACTCGGCTTCTGCTGCTGCTGCCGCACTATCTTCTCCTCCCATTTCTGCAACTGAGAAAATGGGCTTCCAGCGGTGCGATCCTTCTTCCTCGGGAGTTGGGTATCCAAAGCCAGCGGCAACCAGAGCACGTTTAGTCCAGCGGTTGTTGATAGACGTGAAGTGCCAGTCTACAACTGAAGGAGAAGCATAAGTATCGAGTTGATTGCGAACATCTATGAGTTGTTGAATGGAGGTGATATCGACATTATTGACGGAGCTGAAATCAAGAATTATGGCTTTGAGGATGGGGCGATCACTGTGATCTTCAGGAGCTTTTCCGCGACGTGGACCGGGGTCATTCCATGGGCGATCACCGGGACGGGCGTAATGGTTAGGGTTAGTTCGGCGGGTGGTTGCAAAGATTGTGTTGGTAAGGTGATCGAGGTAGTGATTTGCGTTTGGATAATTAAATCCTTCCGAGAATCGATAGATGAAGATACCGGGATAGGGAGTTTGAACATCAATCTCTGGATTGCTTCCGTCACCGTGATCGAAAGGAAGAAATACGGTTCGAGATCCCGAGTCTTCAAACTGAGTGGCCTCGGATTTTGGGAAAGTGCCATGGTCGACCAGGGGGGCCGATCTATATTCGACAGTCTCGCCTCCAACGGAAAAGATCTTAACTTTACCCAGGAAACGACCTCTGGCCTTGATAACTCGGAAGATGAGAACGGCAAAAGAAACCGAGATAGTTACGTAGATACCAATCTCAATCGTGCTAAAAATAGTAACAATAACACCTGCGAAGAAAATCAGAACCTCGATAGGGGACACACGCCAAAATTGATAAACAGTGTTCGGAGGTGTGATTAGATCTCCCACGGCGTGAATAATGACTGCAGATAAAGCTGCACTCGGAATGTAGAAAAAGACGGCCGTAAGAGCGTAGATAGCTAGAAGAACGACGACGGCAGTTATGACACCAGCGAACGGAGTTCGAACGCCAGCCTTGGATTTGATTGCTGTACGGGAGAAAGAACCGGTAGCTGGGTAACCACCAAGGAAAGCGCCAAGAATGTTTGTGACTCCAATAGCTACCATCTCCTGAGATGGATTGATGACATAGTTATTGACACGTCCGAATGATTTAGAGATTGCGATGTGCTCGATGAGAAGAACAATGACGGTGGCAGGTAAATCACCTATAAAGATGTTGATAATCGAAGAGTTGACTTCTGGCACGGCAGCGTTTTTAAACCCTCGTGGAACTGTACCAACAACCTTGAACAATGGCTTCTTGCGATGATGCATATTGACGAGCCAACTAATCAACGTGTATAACAAGATAACAAATACGGTTCGAAGGGTTGCTGCGAAGAAAAATGCTCTCTTGCGGTTTGGAAATTTCTTGGCTCCGTAATTGCAAGCCTAGAAATAATAATTAGCAGTGATACATATAACGATAGATTGTAATGACTTACAGCTCGAAGAGCATATAACAGGAAGAGAGCTGTAAGCCCAATGGCCGCATCGAGTTTTGTGTCTGGGAGATGCTTCAACGTGTTGATGAAGACCTTGTAAGTTGATGCGCGAGTGTTGAAGCCTTTGATACCCATCAAGGTCGGAACTTGTCCAACGGCAATGCTGATAGCGGAACCAGTCATAAATGCCGAAATTGAGACGAGGGAAATCAAATCGACAATCCAACCACATCGAATAAGTCCAATGAAAGCGATGATGCAACCGGCAATTACCGCCATACAAGATGCAATAATATGACCAGGAACGTCTGGATGAGTGACAGCTGCCTTTACTAGAATTTGACCGATGAGACTTGACATGACAGCAACAGGTCCGATGGTGATATCTTTGGATGTGGCGAAGAACCAGTAGACGAGAACTCCCATGAAGGAAGAGTAAAGGCCGAATTGAGGCTCAAGCTCAGCGAGAGTGGCATAGGCCATACCTTGAGGTACGACGACGGCACCGATGGTGATACCTGATTGATATTAATGACCATGTTCATCAAGGGACATTTGTCATTACTCACCAGCTACCAAATCACCAAACAGCCATTGCATATTGTAACTACCAATCCAACTTAAGAATGGGAATAATGACCGGCCGTAGGCGGCGAGTTCATGTCGACCTGGTAGGGTATCCTGGATCCATTCTATACTCCGTGGTTCTTCTTCTACGAATGTGTCGGCTGTTTGAATGGAAAAGACTGACTCTCCTCGAAGAATTTCTTGACTGTTGAGTTCGTCGCGATAGTTGAGTTTGATACCGAGGACTTTGGCCAGTCCATGGCCAACTTTGGTAGCAGCCATCGCTAGAGAATTTCTCTGCTGTGAAACCTAAGAGCCGAAAGATCAACTGGACAAGAAAGACTATTCCACTAACAAAGAGTGTAAATAGACGACTGTCAGATATGACAGGGCGACCTGCAAGTTACTCCCAGATGGCTATCCAAGATATGTAACTTTTGTGAGCGGATGCAGGGCTAATATAGCCGTGTCTGCTCAAAGACCAAGGGGTCAGGATCAGATGATCTTTGTGTCTGACAATTCGAAAAGAGGATTCAATAAAAAGTAATGTAGTTCGACATGGAAACTATTGGAATGAAGTACAAGTGATTTGAGTAGATAATGTAGCTTTTAATTGTAGAAAAAAGCTTTTGTTCTGGAGAGACTCAAAAGGGTAAGACGTGATCCAGAAAGTAGCATTCAGTAATGGTGCGCCACCAATGTATTGCGTGCTCGTGGATGAATAAGATGAAAGATAATCGAACAGAAAACAGTAAAGAAAACGACTCGGTAAATAAATGAATCCTTGTGTAGCCTTGGGCGGACCAGGAAGTTAAAACCTTTCGAATGGGAATAATTTGGTAGGAGATGCAAAGCCAAGCGTAACGGGCTTGCAAATTCTGCGAGTTTGGGGTTTATAATAATATTTATCAACTAGTTGTCAAGCTCGAGAGACTGGTGGACTTTGCGGGAGAGCTGGCCTAAAATGGAAGAGGACGTGCTGATGGGAGAAATGTGATTAGTTGATATGGGTCGAAAATAAACGATTCGATGTATGAATTATTAAAATGGATGAAAGTACCTGTAATAATGATAAAGCGATAATGTAATAGTAATTGTACTAGTGGTAAAAAGAGTTTTATATGTATTTTAGTTGGTAACCAGTTGGATTATATGGTTATGGTTATGGTTATGGGATGCGGGATACGGGATCGTCAATTGGTGGCGAAGTAGCTGCTTTTTTGATATACAGAGTAGAGGCCAGAGAGTAACCTAGATATTCAAGTGTAATGGAAAGAAGGCCATAATCTAGTGAGTCGAGATTTTTCAAAGACACCCTCTGGACTCTGCAAAAGGCTCCAGGATGTACATACGTATGTTGAAATATTCTACATTGAATTTTTGTATGTAAACGTAAGCCAAAGAATATCGGTGTACGAATAATATGGAGAAATCATTTACCAGGGAAATTGAACTACACTCTGATGCTCTGGGCAGACTAGGCTATTTCTTTTCTACAGAGATCTCTTCCCACACGGAGTAGTACTGTCTTCATATGATAGCACTGCCCTCTATATATTTTATCATATTTTTATGATATACTAGATGCAGGATGAATCATGATTAGCATCGATAGCATCATTAGCATCACTCTGCTTTCTTACCCCAATCCCACATGTGTTTTGACCTGAAATCCAAGCTATTCTTCCCTATAGAATCCCAAAAGAACCAAGAGAAGTGGAGAGCTCTTCGTAAATCCGGAACCAGATAGATGAACTTGTAGGTTTGTAGTGGAAAATACTGGGGATGTCGACGTAGTTGGTGAGCACGCAATTCGCCTAAAGTGGTTAGACTCCCAAACGTTCCAATAAGCGTGAAGCGAAAAAGAGGGAGATCTACAGGGTTGCAGTACGGAGTATGTAGAAGACAAAGGAAAAGCCTTTCACTGCTGGGAATCTTTTGGTATCTTTGGCCATGGTGTCTTTGGTGCCTGTGTCTTTGAACCCTGAAGCTGAAATCTGTTGTGTAGATGGAGCCAAGGAATGCAGGGTATTCCGGGAAGGAATGAAGAGATAAACTATTGATATGGCGTTTCTCCTTAATTTCTATTGTATGGTAGGCATGCCTCTGTATACTTACCACCATACCGGTACGTCAGCTTTCAAAAATCTTCCCAAAATCTTCTCGGTACACCCCGCTCGCATATATCATCAACAGGGGTAGCTCAAACCAAGTTGATGCAGGTGGTGGATCAGCCACCGGTAAACTCATCCAATCATCGGTTTCCTCCATGATGCAATGGAAGGGATGAAGATCGCAATCCGATAAGATACGATAAGAACGAAAAAGAGGCTGCAAAGTTTATAAATTATGAGACATCAACCATATAATTTACAGAGTTTGGGGGATTTTGAGTTTAAAGGCTTGAGGCTGAAAGCTCGGTAGGCGACCGAGATCTGTATTTGTAAATGGGATGAAGTTGTGAGTTGATTTTTTGAGAGTAGTCGAGAGCCGAGATTCGAGACTCGAGATTATCAACTACAGATCCGCGGAAATGGAGGGAAAACCCCCCCTTCCAGCCACATGGTCTTGAAGGTATTCTTTGCTTACCAATTGGTCTGTCTGCCAAAATACCAAATATCATGGAAGGGTAGGCCGTCGTGTAACAAAAAAATAAGAAGTTTGGTTCATTACTACTTCGCTGATCGGCATAACTTTAATTTGTTGCAGTATAGTAGAAATATCAAGAATCCCTCCAAAGTCCTTTTCAATCATTGATTATTTACTTTGAGGTCTTGAGATACTCACCTTGGAGTACTTGGGCTCCTTGACTCCAAGCATGAATACTTTGATATGACATCTGTCATATCATATCATAGCATACCATATCCACGTGATATGATCTTCATGCGGCCTTTGCGGTGTCCAAAGTCATGTGACAGAAACAGACGTGATGAGCTTTTTCCCTTTCAAGATGATGTACAGAGAGTATGAAGAAGTATATATTTACTCGGGTACGATATACAGCTCTCTTTTATGGTCGTGGTAAGTTATGTACAGAATGCTAGACCAGGTTACTTGGTTGTTATTGGTGATGTTTGTTTTTATGAATTTTATGACAACTTGGGAACACCAGAATGAATTATCACGAAAATTCGCGGTTCCCAGCCCCAGCATTCACTTCATTTCACTTCATACTTCACTCAGAACTTCTGCTGACATGGCAACATTTTTATATTGATAGCAGTACAATAGTGTGATACAATAGGTACGACACGATATGATATGATAACGATACTTGAATGATTATATTCACCAGTCATATTCACAATTTTCGATTTCAAAACTTCATTGTTGAAATTGTATTTATTATTATTATAATTATAGTTATCATCATCACCGTCATCACCATCACCATCTTCCTCATCCATCAAAACATGCCATAGCAAAATGACAATTTCATCCCCCACCAAAGAATCATCCCCAGTCCCTACCCTCGCCCCTTCACACATTGCACCACCATCTCCGCGCCGAGCTTTACGAAGATTACAGTCCGCCCACACATTAGGTTCAGCATTTAATCAACCATCCTTGATCGCACAACAACACAAACAAGCTTTACAAAAGATTATTCCGCCCGTGCCAAAAGATGCAACTCAATCTTCAAATACAACAACAACAACACGTTCAAGAGCAAGATCAAATAGTGATGTGACGAATATGGTCCCGGTTCCCACGTCTATGGCTAGGCGTCCTACAGCCAACAGAAATCTTACCGCGTCAGAAAATATGTCGTTGGATCGTTTACTTAGAGATGGTCCTCCCGATGGAGATATAATTGGTAGTTTGGAGAGTATGAGACTGAAGATATTGGATCAAGGTGTGAAGAGTGATAGTGATGGGATGGTATGCCAATTCTTCCATTTGTCTCAATAAATACTGATGTCCTTAATAGTCCTCTTTGCGCATCTACATCTGGTTAATATTACTCAATGCCCCTCCTCTCGAAACTGACGCATATCTATCACTCATCCACCGTGGCGCATCTCCTGCATATTCCAAGATCCGAAATGATACTTTCCGAACCCTTGCCACCGATCCTCTATTTCGACGTCGAGTCAGTGAAGCCAGTTTAATCCGACTTTTAAATGCAGTAGCATGGAAATTACACGATGCGAAAGAAGCCCGAGCAGATTTTCGAAATATACAAAATAGAAAGATAATGGAGGCAGCTATTCGAGGTTCACCTGAGCGAGATTCACAATCACCAAATATGAGATCTAGAGCTCGTGCTTTGACTTTAACAACCGAAGGTTCTGATGTAGGAGCTGGAGAACCGGGTACTTATGTTCAAGGCATGAATGTACTCGCTGCACCATTTCTCTATGCTGCTCGTAGCGAATCCGAAGCATTTGTTGCTTTTCATCGCTTCATAACAACTGAAGTTCCTGGATATGTGAGAGGTGCTATGGATGGTGTTCACAAGGGACTCGCTTTGGTAGATAAAGTGCTAGCCATTGTTGATCCTAAATTGAGTCTTTATTTAATTGGTAAAGGGATGAGTGCTGAAATTTATGCTTTCCCTTCAGTACTCACTTTATGCGCATGTACCCCTCCACTACCTGAGGTACTCCGTCTTTGGGATTTCTTATTTGCGTATGGTGCGCATCTTAATATCCTTTGTATTGTGGCACAACTTGTCATTCTAAGGAATTCAATCTTGAGTTCTCCTAGGTAAGTTCTTCAAGGAAATTCTTCTACTATTTATAGATTAGCTAACAATCATTTATCAAAAGTCCTACAAAAATCCTCCGATCTTTCCCTCCTTTACAAGCGGATACGATTAAAGAAGTTACTCTTACTATCATCAAGAAAATACCAGATGATGTTTATGCGGAGATTGTTATGCATGCTAAATAATGATTTAGCTTGCATGTGTGGTTGGCGTTGCATATGGGGTTGGATGTAAAATAAGGGTTAGGGGGTTTGGGGTGGTTGTTACACCTACGAATGAATGATATCATGATGAAGTTATGTTCTAGAAATGATCAATGGTTGGGTTGGGTCGGGTTGGATTGGATTAGGTTGGGTTAAGATGGTTAGGATTGGGTTGGTTATTCTTGTTATGGATGGTTGGGGTCTGGATGAATGGGTATGAATATGAACATGAACATGAATAATGAATGATATTATAGATGAGTTATATCAAGTATAAACGTGAATGTAATGTATTTGTATCCCCTATCTAAAACTCTAGTCCTTTCAACCTCTGGTTATCACTTCGCTAGTGTGTAGCTGTATCACATCTATTTCAATATCGATCGATCGATTAATTCTTACTGCATACACACTTGACAAATAAATACTAGGTATACTTTAGATGGATAGATGGATGAATGAATTGTCATCATCTTATTTTATTTCTATTAAATACCGTATCAAAAATACTCCATATACTCTTATATCACTCTTTCCCTCTCTCACACCATCACCCTCAAATAATAATAAAGAAAGTACAAGTACAAGTACTTTATTTTATGAGTATAAAGTATAATATAAGTATAACATAATATATATCCACAAAACATCTTTCTTTCTTTTTTGTTTCCCCTTGTTTTGTTTTGGAATTGGAATTAGAATTGGATTTGAAGGAAAAGGAAAGAGGAGATGGAGTAGGAAGTTTGAGATATATTCCGTGTTATATATTTATTATATTTAGCATGCTTGATGTGCTTGGTGTGTTTGGTGTGTTTGTTTGGACTGTTATGCTGTATATAGAGTATTGTATGTATATTTAAATCATAGATAGATACATAAGATCTTGGATCTGGAGGGTTAGGAAGAAGAGGGGAAAGGAGGGAAGAATTAATGAGGTATTTTTATATCGGTCGGTCGGGTTTATTCTTGTAAGATTAGTTTCCTTTCCCTGTGTTTTTATCATGGTCTTGTGAATTTCTGATTTGGGGGTATTGGTGTTTAAACTGTGGGAGGTTGTGGATGCTGGGTGTTGTTTGTGGTTTGGGATTGATATCTCACGATATATGATCGATTGGGCGATGTAATTATATATAGTTGAATAAGTATAAGTATAGGTGGAATAATAACTCGAGTATGTTAAAGCGGGAAATATTATACTAATCCTATAGATAATACAAGCGAGAAATAACCCCTTTACACTAATAGTCACAGCAAGTCTTATATTTATTTTCCTTCTTTTTTCTTTCCTCTCTTTTGATTTACTTTACTCTATTCCACTTCAATAATACATTGATCGAAGAAATAATAAATAGAAAGAGCAGGAGCAGGAGCGGTAATATATCATAGTATTATACACCAACGAATCTACACACTATTTATATCATCCAGACCAGTAATATAAGCTAGTAGTTGGAGGCCGTAGGTCTTATTGTCTTTTGAATTCTAAAATTCTACTTGGCAGCTTTAGAGTTAGCGGTAGTACCTGTACGAGTACCAGTATCGACATCAATATCAAAGACATACATACAATCACATCAAAGATATCCTCAAAATCATGTCACACAAGATAAAACAAAACAAGACTTGATTTGAAAACTAAAGTTGTATAATTCGCTATTTATGTATTAAGACACTTCGCTATTTGAATCTATTTACAATTTCTTTCCTTTCACTCGCTGAGTACACAGTCAAAATTATGAATGTGTATAATCCATATGCAATATGCATGTATGCCTCCCTTTATCGAAAAATCGCTAAACATACGTTTTTACAACTGTATGTATGTAACCCATAAACTCCATTCGCGCTAAGAATCGCTTGATCATGCATCATTTCTTGATGAGATCAATGGTTTTGCGATTCGGACCCCAAAAACCCATAAAGAAAAGAAAACTCCGCCATGCAATGCTGCTATAATCTTCCATTCATTCACCTCTTAATATTTTAATCCACAAAAAAAACTCCGACGTTGATGACTTTCTCCCTTCTTGTCAAATCATGGCTTTTGAAATGCCTCCGCCGGTAAATTTGCCATGTTGGCTTGGAAAGCAGCAAAGGCTTTATCTAAATCCCATCCCGTCTCCTCCAAGCACAAAGCCGAATATTGTAAATTCATGCCAGTCTCAGCTGAAAGTTTTTCGGCACGTATTTTGTTCAGTTCCTCGCCAGTGGGCAGAGTGTTAAAAGGCGGCGCAACAATTGGAACTTTTGGAGGCACAAACACTTCTGCAATTTGAGGCAAAGGACCCCAAGCTCTAAGGCAAAGCATATCACTAATAACTCTGATAGCGGGCCCATTGGGTCCTCCGGGACCAAGAATGAAGTATCGTGAAAAGCTTCGAAGAGCTTTTCCTTCAAAATTGGCAACATCCTCCTCAAATTCGCCATGTACGTCAATGAGGAGACCGTCAACCCCAGCAGCGCTCTGTCCAGAAAGATCAGGAAGACCTGGAATAGGGTGACATTCGACAAGGTATAGGTCCGGTCGTGTAGCGATTTCGGGGTGTAATGTTTTAGGTAAATCGCTCCACATTTGTTGTATTTCCTCAATACCAGTAGATTGCCGAGATATTCTAGTAGATAAGTGTGTGTATTTGACAAAATTTCGATTAGATTTGTTGTATGCCGCCCATGGTGGGACAGGCATTGAGTGATCACGATCTCGTACTGCTGACATATTGACCATGAGCGAGAACGCGGATCTAGTATCGTAGAAATTGCTAAGTAAGGTGTTGCGATCTTTATCGTAAGCCCCGAAGAAATGTTTGACAAAGTTTTCAGCAACTTGTCCGACATCTCGGAAAGATGGGCTAGCAATTGGGAATGGTGTTTTGATAGCTTCGAGATCTGCAACAACTTGAGCGACACTTCTGACTTGGACGCCACTCAATTGTTGAAGCTCTGGATACCATCTTACAATCTCAGTTGTGTAATCTGGAACGAGCGTTTCTATAGGGTTGCCTGACAAGACGAGGTTTTCGAGGTGTCGGAACTTCCATCGCCATAATTTTAGGGATTCCAAACTATCGAACTGATTCCTGGAGAGATCGAGATTCTTCAAATCAGGAAATGTTGAAGCCAATGAAGTGACATTGGAGAGATCGGTTAGGTAGTTGTCGGTCAAAGTAATACTGACTATGGCGTCTTTCTTAGCTTGTTTGGTGGTGAACAATTTGTTACAAATAACCATCAAAACTGGGAAAAGCTTGGCGACAAGAGTGTCGTCTTGAAAGATCCCCATCTGTCTCAACTGCTCGTCTTGTCCCAAGGCCGAGAGGTTTAAAAGCTTGAGGTTGGTATCGTATCGAGCTGCGAGAACCGCCTGAATCTTCTCACGAGTTGACCGAGCCTCCTCAGACTCTTCCTTCGGCTCTGACATCTTCGATGGCTCGCTGTCTTGGACTCCAATAGTTGATCCAGCAAACGCAAAACCATCCAACTTCATGATGGTGGCCGCATCTTCCGGGGTAACTGAGATAACAACGATGTCACCTTTCTTATGTGACTATTCGAAGTTAGTAAGATGTAGATGATCTTGAGATCGTCCGTGAATCACGGAGTGGTAAAGCGAAAGTGTCGATCCGCTACTCATTGTAGTGAGCTTGACTTGACAAGAGCGGGATATTACGACGACAGCGTAATGTCACTCGTGATCCCCAAATCATGGCGATAAGAACGTACCTTTTTGACTCTCACACATCTCTTCGACCTGGATTCCAAAGTCGTAGCCTTGCGCTCGATAAATGACACTAATGATGAAAGACCTTGATCATCATTCAAAGCTGCTTTACTTCCCTTCAGTCCTTTGATCCAAAGAGTGACCAATACATTGGCTTGTTGCGATTGCGATCCCATGCCGCGGAGAATGGCCTGTGGGTTTCGTGTGAGGTCGAGTCTTCCTCCACCACGACTAGTGTTTCTTGCGCCTCCCCGACCATGCCCGCGCGGTCCAGATGGAAGAGAACCTCCAATGGCTCCCTTTCCACTCTTGCGACCACTTGCGGCCGTGGTAGTATCCATATCCAAATCTCCATCTTTATCGGCTCGAATAGGACCCGCTCGTCGTTTTGAAATACCCCCACCACCCACGCGACCACCACCTCTTGCGCTTGAAGACGAATTTCGCGGACCTCTAGGAGGCGCCGATGTTCGGTTCATCATCTTGACGTCTTTTTGATTAGGATCGTCCTATTTGTTTTTGTATAGTTTGTCCAATATCGCAAGTCGCAAAGTGTGCGACCAAATGGTTGTTGGTTGTTATGACGTATCTCGAAGGTACGAATTTTTTCGAAAGAGTGGTAGGTGTTTCGTAGAAGAAACGGGAAATGATAAAAAACGTACTCCTTTTCCAATACGAACGACTGTGTGGGAAGGTTTGGAATGTATTGGATTTGTTGATTTGTGTTGAACTTGTTGCTTTCAATGATTTGAGTTGATTGTGAAGAAGTGAAAGAAAAGAGGTTTGTTCTAGGCATAAAGAGTTAAAGAAGCAAGTAAGAAGAAGTTCTTCATGGAAGGCTAACGTAAGCGAGGCTGAAACTAATTCAGGTGGAACTCTCTAGTCCTGGTGGGTTTTGCCTGTTGGGTCGTAGTGCTGTACAAATGATTCAAGAGTGCATCATTTAAGCGCATGAATTTTAGTGTCTACTAGGTAACTGATTTTATATACATTGGAGGGTAGGATTAGAATCTTTGGATCGTCCATCTAGTGTGTGATTAAGGAATTCTATATTTTTTTTTCTCCAACCCCTCTATCAATTACTTAGCCTCACCAAGAACCGACAAGGCTGTGCCGAGGGTTGGAGGGCTAGAGTACTGCTACCAGAGTCAGACATTTCATGCCCCAGGCACTAATATATACCAAACCAAGCTGCAGGTAGATAGTCCGGGGCAGCAAGTTGCAGAACGGGGCAAGTATAAACGCTCATGACTAAGGTAGGTACAAGCTAATATAGCTGATAAGTAATACTTGTACTTAGGTAGGTAGCTAATGACTAACTATCGGAAAAAGGGAATTTGTATCAGCTAGATTACACTTACATAGAATCTATACAACATTTGCACTTGATGGCACAAGTGTCATACACCATGAATTTTTGTAGATAAGAGCACATACTACTCATTGACCCCATCGTGAGAATGAAGGTCAGATCAGGTCAGGTCGGGCAGGCCTGGTCTGTGTTGCGCGTACGGAAGTCCCAGCTAGTTTTCCCTGCATGAACAGGCTTCACACTTTACCATTTACGGGCTAGATCCTCTGCAGATTCGAAAAGTGCAACAAGAGGGGCGGCACTAAAATAAACCGAGAATCCAATCCGTTCAGTGAATGATTTGAAAGCTGTCCTTAATGGAAAATGCGATTGACACTTTCTAATAAAATATCCTCTTTCTACTCCGAGTACACTATCCACTGAAATCAATTGGATGCTTCTCTGTAAGGCCTTTTAAAGACCTCCTATATGATCCTTCATTCTTTTTGATTTTCTACTTTTCATAAATTACAAATTACTATCAATTGAAACTTGGCCTATTCAAATTACCTACTTGATTTATGTATTTCTGAGAGATCTTCCAAATCCAATTCTATGCCGCAAGGCTACTCCGCCTAAACACAATCATCATACAACTTACAAAACATCTTACACCATGCCGGCGAAATCTAGATTTACCAGGCTAGATGCCTTTACTAAGACGGTCGATGAAGCAAGAGTGCGCACAACTTCAGGAGGAATTGTTACTATAGCTTCATTGCTAATCGTCTTGTATCTGGCTTTTGGAGAATGGGCAGATTACAGGAGGATAACAGTACATCCTGAGCTTGTAGTTGACAAGGGAAGAGGTATATCATTTTTTTTTTAGGATCTCAGGGGTCCATGCATCAAATACTAATTGTCATGCTTCTTAGGTGAAAAGATGGAAATTCATTTAAATATTACCTTTCCAAAAATTCCTTGCGAACTTCTAACACTAGATGTAATGGATGTTTCCGGAGAACAACAAGTTGGTGTTATGCATGGAGTTAAGAAGGTTCGATTGTCTGCTCAAGAAGAGGGAGGTAAAGTTATTGATACTACTGCTTTGGATCTGTATGTTTTCTGCCTTGCGCTATTGAATGATGACTGATATCATGTAGTCATAATGCAGATGAGGCAGCAACCCATCTTGATCCCAATTACTGCGGTCCATGTTACGGTGCTACCCCTCCTCCGAATGCGAAGAAGCAAGGATGTTGCAACACTTGTGACGAAGTACGAGAAGCATATGCGTCAGTATCATGGGCTTTCGGTCGAGGAGAGAACGTAGAACAATGCGAGCGTGAACATTATGGCGAACGTTTAGATTCACAACGCAAGGAAGGTTGTCGCATTGAGGGTGGTTTGCGAGTAAATAAGGTCATTGGAAATTTCCACATCGCTCCTGGACGCAGTTTTACCAATGGAAATATGCACGTTCACGATCTCAACAACTACTTCGATACCCCAGTTCCCGGTGGCCATGTTTTCTCTCATCATATTCATTCTCTTAGATTTGGACCAGAGCTTCCAGAGGAGGTTACCAAGAAATTAGGCTCGGATTCCATCATTCCATGGACCAATCATCACTTGAACCCCCTTGATAACACGGAACAAATTACGCATGAGGCTGCTTACAACTTCATGTACTTTGTAAAGGTGGTTTCAACTTCTTACCTTCCTCTTGGCTGGGAAACAACCTACAACAGTCCGCCCCATGATGCGAGCGTGGATATTGGAACTTATGGGCATTCTGAAGATGGAAGTATCGAAACTCATCAATATTCCGTTACTAGCCATCGCCGAAGTCTCAACGGTGGAGATGATTCGGCTGAAGGTCACAAGGAAAAGTTACATGCGCGTGGTGGAATTCCAGGTGTTTTCTTCTCTTATGTAAGTTTCCTTGAGATTCATATGCTTCAAGGTATACTAATCATGATCAGGATATCTCACCAATGAAAGTTATTAACAAGGAAGAACGAGCCAAAAGATTAGCAGGTTTCTTGACAGGACTTTGTGCCATGTCGGAGGTAC